GGTCGTTGGGGTAGTTTTGGGGAGGGGGAAGGGGGGAATTGGTGGAGTCGGCGATTTTGGTGGGATCAGCGGGTTCCGGCGGGAGCTGAGGTCAGGGGGTTCCGGCGGTTGGGTTTGGGTTGTCGGCGGTTTGGGCAGGTGGTTCCGGTGGTGGGGCTTGGTTGGGTTAGGATTTAGGATTTTTTTTTTCTTTTTTTTTAATTTGAAATTTGAAGAAAAAAAAGGTTTAGATACTAATTTTTACTTATTTTTCCTACCCGTTATCAACAATTTTTTTAAAAAAAGCTTGGAAATAAATTTATGTAATTCAAAATTTAGCAAAACAAAAACGAGATGACATAATAATATAAATTTTAAATGAAAAAAAATAAATTTAAAAAAAACACAAAACAATATAATTAGGACTGTTAAAGAGCTTGCCTAAAAAAACAAATTTTTTGGTTTAAATGTAGCCTGAGTTTTTTTTTTTTACCAAATTATCGCATAATGTTAACTTTTTTTTTACCAAATTGTCGTAAGGGTCCATTTTTTTTTTTTTTTTTTACCAATTTGGTCAATTGGCCATGGAATTGCCTAGTAAGTATCCTGAAGTGCAATCATGCAATGATGCATTATCATTTTGAACAAGCAAAAGTTGTGTAGAGTAATAACACACAAAGATTTGTAATATGCACAATTGATTACAGGTTCAAATTCCTCTTCTATATCTAATTTGTAACGCTACTCATTCACTATTTTTTTTTTTTTTGACCTTCTTACTTTGTATTCATATTATCTTCCTATGAATTTAAAGTAAAAGTAAAATATTCCACAAATCCTGTCATATATACAAGTAATTTTTTTTTGCGCGTTTTCTATGTGGTTGACCACATCGTGTGACCGGCTGACACACATCAAAATACTAATCGAATAACCCCTGATTGAGTAGCCCCTCAAGTAATCCTCGACCAAGTAACCCCGGATCAAGTAACTCATGATCGATCGAGTAATCCCCGATCAAGTACCCCCAGCCACATATGAAACTCTATTTTGAAAGATAGATATAAGTAATTGATATAAATAATTACGTTATCAAAAAAATATATATAAATAATAAATTAATAAAAAATATAAACTGTTGAATTCAAAGTATAGAGAATCATTCTGTATGTTGGCCTTGTTTGAAAAACTGAAAAAGTGGAGGGTGGCGAAGTTTGGGCCGTGTGGCCCAAGTCCAATCGAGTTACATCTTCATTTTTTTATTTTTATTTTTATTATTTTTTTATTTTTTGGGATTACATATAGAGGTGTCAATTCGGGTAAACGGGTTGGATTTGAGTCGGGTTAGTCTGGGTTGGGTCAACTCGGGTCGGGTTAATATCGTGACCTACGCGGGTCGGGTTGGGTCATGTTTAAGTCGAGTCATACATCTTATCGGGTTTGGGTCGAGTTTAAGTCGGTCAATAACAGGTCGGGTTACATTCGGGTCGGGTGAACAATAGGTCGGGTTTAATTCGGGTTTTAACGGGTTAAATTGAGTTAGGGTCATTCTCGGGTTCGAGTCGGGTTCAGTTCAAGTCAATAATTTGTGGGTTATAATCAGGTCGGGTCATTTCCAAGTCGGGTCATGTTCGGGTTTGGGTTTCAAATATTGGGTTAATTTGGGTCTCGGGTTGATTTCAGGTCGGGTCATATCGGGTTCGGGTATATTTTTCGTGTCGGTTTAATTAGCAGTTCATGTATTGACGTTTATGTTTAATCATTATCAATTTCTTCATTTATTACTTTTTTTCGCTTATTTTAGGATAAATAATTTCATATAAGTTCAAATTCGAACTAAATGTGATCATGTAAATTTAAGATAAATTATAAAAAGTTCATATTAATTTCGATAAGATATGTTCAGACCCTATTCTAATCTATTTTTCATTGGTTCCACTCATTTTAAGAAACAATTTCAGACTAGTTTTATTTAAGTTAATAAGTTCAAATAAGTTTAGATAAGATATATATAATAAGTTCATATTAATCCAATAAGATAGTTTAGTTTAGATTTTTAGAAGATAAGTTTGGAAAATACGTCATATAATGTTCGGATTTGGGTCTCAAATACTCGGGTTAACTCGGGTTTAGCTAGGGTTAGTTTCAGGTCGGGTCATATCGAAATCAGGTCACCATAATTGGGTTCAGGTAAATTTTTCAGTTCGGGTCAGCTTTTAACAGTTCTAGTAATAGGTCGGGTTAAATTTGGGTCGTGTTAGTAACAGGTCGGGTTAAATTCGGGTTTTGACAGGTTAAAACGGGTTTGGGTCAATCTCGGTTTAGGTCGGGTTCGGTTCAGGTCAATAATTTACGGGTTATATTCAGGTCGAGTCATCTCCAGGTCGGTTCATGTTCGGGTTCGGGTCTCAAATACTCGGGTTAACTCGGTTCTAGAGTTGGTTTCAAGTCGGGTCATATCAGGTTTGGGTCACCTTTTTTTCGAGTTCAAACAGGTCGGTTAATAATCGGATTCGGGTAAATTTTTCGACTTGGGTCAGCTTTTGACAGCTCTAGTTACATAGCCCTCATTGGTCGTATGCCTTATCCATTTATCATACAAAATCATAAAAATGATAAAATTATCAAGTATGCCATAACTTTGACACATTTTATCATAAAAAAAAATAAAAAATTTAAACAATATGAGTACAAAGTAATGGAATATATTTTAACATAACTAAAAGGAATTTACAACAAGCATATGCAATAGCTTACAAGCATAATTGCGTCATCCCTCCCAGCTTTGTTCTCCTCATTTTATTAAAATGCTAGGTTAGAACCCGTGTGATGCACGGTTTATATAAAATCTATTTTCATAATTTGTACATTTTTTAAAAATGGTAAATATAAATAAAAATTATGCACTTTGTACAAAAGTATCTGTACTTTTAAAATTTTAAATTTTCATTAAAATTATGATATAATACCTGTTCAATGTCGCCTAATACATATTTCAATATAGGAGTCTATTTATTAGTGTGCTACTTAAATTTATTTCATTTTTTATTAGGATAAATTGATAGGTTTTAGTTGTAATGTAGAAGCTTCTGATATTCAAATCAAAATTATTAAATATGATAACTCCAAAAAAAAAAAAAAATGACATCATCCTTGCATTTAGGCGGGAAATTTTTTATTATGAGAGTGACATGTGGACAGCGATGACGTCAGCAACGTTTTGTTTTAGTAATAGTTAATAGATACGTAATAATCTTTTTCAAAACAACTTATTTTTCCTAAAATAGATGGAAGTAAGTTGAACGGGTCAAGACATAGTAAGCTAAAATAAGGTTGATAAGTATAAATAAGATAAATAAAGGCCCATAATTTCTAATGAGGTGTATCAATGCATAATAAGGAAGACAATTATACAACTAATACATACCGCGTAATATGATATTATAAGATAAAGGCTATATTAAAAAAAAAAAAGAGCGAAATTAAGGTGAAGAGAACCCTATTAGGGGTGTTCGCGGTTCCAAACCGCAAAATTGTTGTTGATATTTTTTCCTAACCGCACTTCTAACAAAGGTGCGGTGCGGTGCGGTTTGCAGTTGAACCATATTTTTATAAAATTATAATTATTTTTTTAAAACAAAACTTTTATTTTATTTTGAGGTTATTAATATAATTTATGCAGTAAACTCTATTTTTTAACATTTAATTAGCTAATAGTCAAAGATTAGCTCATATTTCTTTTTAGTTCTTTTATATTAAAATATAGTATAAAAACCGCAAACTGCATCAAATTGCAATTTGCGGTGCGGTTTGATCAAAACATTTTTGGAAACCGCACCAAACCGCGGTTTGGTCATTTTCAAAAACCGCACCGCAATTTTCAAACCGTAAAATTGCGGTTTGATGCGGTCTAAACCGCACTCTTAACAATCCCAAACACTATTTTATAACATTCGCATAGTGATAATCATGTTTAAACATAGTTTGGTTTTTAAAATAGAAGTAGAAATAATAATTGCATCCTTGGAATTATTCCCTCCATTTCTCATCAAATATGAAAGTTGAAGTGAGCTGATCCATTGTCTATAGAGAGCTTCTATATTATACAAAGAAGTTAAATCATAATAATTGCATCAACACAAATTATCCTCATCTATAACAACAAAACGACTGCGCCCTCCAAGATGGGATGTCAAGAATTTGGGATATTTTAGGTGAAAGCAATCTAGTAATATCAAATCCGAATGAGTGATACTTGAATTCATTGATCAAGTGGTTTGATTAATTTAATAAAATAATCACAAAAAGATATTTTTTTCCCCTCAAATTTTTCTCAAACCAATCATGAAATTATGATATATAATAATTAGTGGAACAAGAAATATGTTGTGCAACAAATCTTATGTTGTGCAACAAATCTTCCCTCAACCTCTTGATAAAAGTTTCACTATAGTTTCCATTAGAACGCTCTTCATAACAATTATCCTTTTCTATTCACTCCATCACTATGCTTAATTATGCATATAAAAAGCGAGTATTTACGAAGCATAATGGAAGAAAATGCAAGAGTATGTATTGCATCCCAGGATGTTGGAATGTCCATTAAGACGATGTTAGTAACAGATAGCTCAACTATCACTTGTAATGGCCAGATACTCGAAACAGTCGCTCCATTTTGTTTAGCAGAATCAAGTAACTGTCATGCACCAATACGTACTGCTGTGCTAACTGTGAGCAGGCCTTTCACGCCCATTTCATTAACAAGAGAGAAGCCCAACCCAAAGCCTAGCAACTCAAGATATATGCCTTGAGAGTGCCCTCTTAATCTGACAGTCTCAATCAAAATGTGATAAACCTGCTCAAGAAGAGATTCATTCCAAGACCCCTACAGGGCTCTTTATTCGACATCTTGGCTTGGTTGGTAAACTTTTAGTTTTGTACAAGGTCTTTTTTCATGTAAAAATGGCAACACGATTGCTTACAAAACACAAATATTGCTAGTTTTCAACATTTCAAGGAAGTAGAAAGAATTTGGTTGTATATACTATATACTAGTGTCTCCAAGATTTCAAGTGACCTACAAACAAACCCCTATCCTTGATTTTAAAAAAGAGCAGGGCACTTGAAGTCTTGAACACAAGAGCACCACTTCTAGTTTCGGACTGATACATAACAACTTCCAAGTTGAAAACTACAACAAGCATGATTTCAGCAAATATGAAGACCTGAATCTTTACTACTCCTAGTACCAGCAAAACGGGTGTACTCGTGAGAGTCATCCCATAGGAAAATAATGAAAAATCATAACTCTATGTTGACCTCCCTTGAGCATAGCGCCATAGCCTCTTTATCCCCATCTAGAATTCCAACAACCAATATATAATTCTGATCCTCATGGAAATGGATTTCTGGTATGTTCTCTTCATCTCATATTACACAGCAGTTTTGACTAATTTAAAAATGCTGAAGGGAAGAACAATAAATGCAACTTCCATGCATGGGCAGGCTACCGAGTGTCAGGTATGGGATATATATCCAAGTGTCAGGTATGGGATAGATATCCAAGTCTCAGGTATACTTGGTTCAAAATTTTCAACACTGCTTGAATTAGACAGAGGTGTGACTCCTGTGAGAGCACGACATTCGTGAAAGTGATGAAACAATGCTTCTGGTGTAACTCATGATTCTGGTTAGATTTCTTATCTCAACCCCCAATTTCAAGCACATCACCTGCCGCATGGTTTTTCTTTCAATCTTTCTCTAATCTTTACAAAGAAGTGCTTCAAAATAATTGAAGTTTTGGGATTAGAATCAAAAGTATTGAGGAAAAGATTTCATACCCTTATTAGAGGATCAAGTGTCCAAAATGGGTTTCAATAGTGACATAAATAATGTCAAACAACATAATTACAAGATACTGTTGCCCAATTCATGCTAAGCTGGATCTCATCCATCAGTGATTACACTTCATTACCAAATCAAAGAACTCCAATTACTTAGTACATACAAAGAGTTCATTAAAATAATTACTAGCCATTGCCAAGGGCTCTATAGGTAACCTAAACTCATATTTTAGAATTTTCTTGCATGGTATGCTATCAAGTCAGAAAAGTATACCTACTATAACATTCAGGGGGGAAAAAAAAAGATTGGGAGCAAAATCACATTTTCACCATCAAAACGTACAATCTGACCTCGAAAATGTTTCATCATGATGCAGCTTCAGCAACAGATTTCAATTTCTTAGGGGGTGGATTTCCTCCAGAAATCACCACATAAGAATAAAAGAGCAGCATGGCCGCACTGTGAGACACAAGTAAACAAGAAATCATTTATAAAAGCATAACTTTACCAATGACAAAGATGAACAGTGAGAATAGCAACGTACCTCACTAGAACATAGAGTCCTGCTGGAAACAGTTTCTTTGACTGCAGATACACAGAGCAAATCGAAATTAATTTAAATGAACTAGACAGTCACAACCTAGCAAACACTAATGAATATTCACATACCACAGAGTAGTTCTGGAAGTTCTTCCATAACAAGGTTGCTGCAAGAACTGAACAACAGAATATGCAAGAGTCAAACATATTGAAACATTAAGAAAAATGCATGATGTCAAGACAATTCAGTAAGTAGGAAAAAAGCATATTCCTAGTCAATGCTTTGGGTAACCTTCCTGAGCAAGAGTCAAACATATTGAAACATTAAAATAGAAAGTAATCTTTTTCTATTTTTCAAGAAAGATTACTTTTTGCTCCTTTCCCGAAATTACCTAATTGCCGGTATAATAATAGAAAAAGATTTCTATAATTAAAATACAATTTACTAAAATTATCGAACTTACTTTTCATTGATGTATCATTTCATCGAGATCCAATTCAAACTACGATGTCATTTTCTTGTTCTTGAATGGGTCTCTTTCATTTTTTTAGGTTTATGCTCTACTTCGGGTAAAGATCTGTCCGATTTTGATTTGCACATATAGGGCAAATGTTTCCAATACCACTTGTTTTTTTTTATTTTTTATTTATTTATTTTTTTTATTTCATATCTTTTCTTGCATCAATTTCAATATTCAATCATTACTTTATTCGATTGCTTGAGATCACTCTTTTTCGAGTTTCAATTTCAAATTGAAACGATCAAGAGTTAAAATACATAAACTATATAGCAGTAATCTTCAATATATTTCCAATTGGGATTGGGTTTTCATAAACGGAGCCTAGATACTTGATTTTATTGGTCCAACCGAGCCAACCACAAAACTTTATTAATTGATAATATTAATTTGAATCCTCCGAAAACTAAAAATAGAACTAATTCCATTTCACGCTCCAAAATTTGGATGATTCAATCAATCTTTCTTGGGTGAAAGGGAGGATATCTCAATCGGGAGAGAGAAAGGGGAAATCCTATATGACCCAAGATATCTGACAAGCCGCACTATACGTCAACCCAAGCTACATCTTCCTCTCCAGGACTTCGAAAGGGAACTTTTGGAACACCAATAGGCATTAAATGAAAGAAAAAAATTAAGTACTCTATTTCACTTTAATGTGGAAACGTAATAATTTAGGGTTATTGTCTTTATAATATTAACCTTTATTAGATTTTCTGCATAGACTATAAAGGTTTAGTTTAAGAAGACGGAATAAATAAAGGAAAATTCTTGCCAATATAGCCTTCCAATACTAAAGAAGTATGAAAGCATTTACTCATCGACGGTGGTATCAACTCCCCATTGCGTATTGCTACTTATCGGGTATGGAATAGATTTGTTTCTCTTTGTTCCTACAAACTTAATTGTTCCATTATTACAAACAGAATAGAACAAACATTAACCCTTGTTCCGAGATAATCTATTTGAAAGGATCCATTGCATAGTCATAGTCTTTTCCAATGCAATAAAGTTACATAGTGTCATTTTTGATAAAGGGGTATTTCTATGGGTTTGCCTTGGTATCGTGTTCATACCGTCGTATTGAATGATCCCGGTCGGTTAATTTCTGTTCATATCATGCATACAACTCAGGTTGGGCCGGTTTGATGGCTCTATATGAATTAGCAATTTTTTATCCCTCAGACCCTGTTCTTGATCCAATGTGGAGACAGGGTATGTTCGTTATACCTTTCAAGACTCGTTTAGGAATAACCAATTCTTGGGGCAGTTGGAGTATTTAAGGGGGGGCTATAACGGACCCTGGCATTTGGAGTTACGAAGGTGTAGCCGGAGCGCATATGTTTACTGGCTTATGCTTTTTAGCAGCTATTCGGCATTGGGTGTACTGGGATCTAGAAATATTTTCTGATGAACGTACGGGAAAACCTTCTTTGGATTTGCCTAAGATTTTTGGAATTCATTTATTTCTATCCGGGGTCGCTTGTTTTGGTTTTGGTGCATTTCATGTAACAGGCTTGTACGGGCCCGGAATATGGGTATCTGATAAACTTGATAGCATTGGGACATTTCAATATGTTTGACAATTCAGTAAGTAGGAAAAAAGCATATTCCTATATGTTTCAATATGTTTTACTGTTCATTTGTGGAACAGGTGGGCAATCTACATGAACCTAAACTCTAGATCAGAGAAACTTTTTGGTACTTCTTCGATTAATGCTTCATCAAAATCCCTCCTACATGGAAGCCCTTTTTGCAGTGTAGGGTATTATACTTTTTTTTGTCAACCCTTACCCAAATCACAGCCTCATTAGAATTATATTCCTAGTCAATGCTCGGTAACCATCCTTTCAAAATCAGCAAAGCTCCCTGGCTGTAAGCGCAACCAAAACTCTTCCTGAACTTTAATTTACCGTTAATTAGGGATTACTAGGTCTTTAAGTTTATTGTTGGCTTTTTTTGAATAGCAGATTTGATGTTGTGACTCATTAGTATAATAAATTTGCTTCTCCTTAATCTCACAAACTATACTTTTCTTTCACCTTAATTTATAAATCTAATGTTATATATGCAGCCAAAACATCACAAGCATTTTGATAAACTATCAAATCATAAGTTTCAGTGGAAGGTTACAATGGGGTGAAGATTTTACAGCCTCCTATCAAACAAGGTCCCAATATGTGTGCATTTGCGGCAGTTGTAAAGCAACTCGATTATAATTTGAGGTGGTTGTATGCTAATGCAAGCAAGGGATTGTCGTTGACCGAAGATGGATGTATATTTGACCACAAAAAATGGGAGAATGATTTGAAAAAAAAGTATCCTGATCGCAAAAGTAGATGGAAACCTATTGACCTGCCACTTGAGGCAAAAACCAGAGGTGTACCATTATGCAATCATGGTACCCATGTTATCCAATTCACTAAGACTATGTCATGTCAAAAAATAGACACAATCTTTCACTTGAACCAGTTGCTAAAAAAATTTCTAGTTACAGGAGTTGTGTCTGTATACACTACTTATAATGTTGATGGAGATGATGTGTATGTAGGAGGTAGTAGTTATGTGATTGAGAGGAGATTTGATACGGAAGGTATGGAGGTAGAGAAAAGAGCTTATCATGCTGTTGTTTTGGTTGATTTATGCGAAATTGATGGAATTTTATACATATCATATCAAAGTTCCAAGGGGGTTTCTGGAAAAAGCGTGTGTGAACTTGGCATCTCATGGATGGAAGCTGATTTGATTACTCAAATTGCTTACGGATGTTCTGTTCATCCCCCAAGCGTATTACAAACCAAAAATCAAATTGACTCGAGGCTCGCTGAATTTGAGATGGTTGGTAAAGGTTTGAGTGCCTCTTAAGAATATTTTCGAAAGGGTCAAAATATTATTGATCAAATCACAAAATCTAGGTTGGTTTTTCGTGATGATGAACGTATGAGCTGGAACAAAAAAATTCAAGATTACATCACACGCATTCGCAACATATCCCAGAAGATGAAGTTCTTTCAGAAATATAAGGACGTTCAAAAAGCCGCCGTGGCAGGTTTTTGCGATGTACCGTGGTTTTTAGAGGCTCGTGGGGATGCAGATGAAATTGAAGGATATGCAACCAAATTGCAACAATTACATCAAAACACATTACTCTAGTTCCGGTATTTAATCACACGTATTTTGTTAGATTTGTTTCATTGTATTTATGAACCTTAAAGAGAAAACTTGGTTTTACTATAGCTACAATATTTATCCACCACTTGCCCTTACAAGGTGAATTGTCAATTTTACCCGTTACACTTACAATGACACCTTGTAAGGGTAAAATTGGCAATTCACCTTGTAAGGGCAAGTGGTGGATAAATATTGTAGCTATAGTAAAACCAAGTTTAATCCTCCCTCTCTCAAGGTTGTGGGTTATTGGATGGTTGTTGGTTGTTTTTTGGTGGAAGGGGGTGGGTTTTCACGGGTGCGTGGGGCGTGGGTTTGGGGAGTGTGGCGCTGGTTGTAGGTTGTAGGTGGTAGGTGGGGTGGTACTCGTGGTGGTGATGAAGGTGATGGTGGCTGTTGGACGATTGTGGTGGTTGCTGCTGGTGGTAGTGTTGGTGGGTATGGTTGTGTGGTGTTGTATGGGGCAGCTCTAGAAAGGGAATGGAAATACCATGGGGGGGTGGGGGAAATCATGGTAGAGGGAAGTGGGGGAAACAAGAAAGGGAAAGCGAGTGGGAAAACTGACCTAACAAACAACAACTAAGGGAATCAAGCTAGTTGATTTCCTTAACCTTTCTTGAAGACCCCATACCAAACGGCCCCTTAGTGGTCTATTATCCAAGAAAAACCTATGGGTGAGGAAAAGGTTGTAGTGGTTCCTTCTTGAATCGGAATCCATATGAGATATCAAACTTTAGACATAATGACATTCATTTTAGTTGGTTGTTTCAATAGTCGTGAAACCAAGAAAATGTAATATAGGAGTTACGTAAACTCTGAGCCAGATTAAAAATTGGAGTGGTTTGTTAAGAATGTAACTGACTAAGTTCAATAGAGCCAATTGATGGCCAATTGAAGATGAGAATGACAAATTGTGATGCAGCTGGTTCAGACATTCCCCCACCCTGCCACTCCTGCTGTAAACTAATGGCCAGCTAGCAACTACCAAGACAGCAAGTGCATCGCATTACACGTAGATTTGCCCATATAAGACATTGGTCCATGGCAGATTAAAATATGTTAGAAATCCTAAGTTCCAAGCCACTATGATTATGATATCCTCTGGAAGCAGGTTGGTCCTAAATTTCAGTCTAATATCTTACCAATAAATAAAAAACATATAAATAACAAAAAGGCCATTAATAACTCTGTCAATGAAAATACAATGTATTTCGAGAGCAATAAATATGCATACCTGCTTGTCCAATAATAAGAGGGAAACTTGATTTGCCTTCTTTCCAAACCTTTAAACTGATTATACTGAATGCTAGAATAGCACCTCCAAAAAGAACACCCGTTCCAAGAGAGGCCAAGTTCCTCGAAAAAATAGAACCAAGAAGTCCCCCAGTGAGAACAAAACCACCTGTTACCAAGTCACAATCAACCTGAGATTTTATCTGCTGCTTCCAACGTAAAAACAAATGATAATCTCTACTCTTTTTTGGGTTATAAACCATAACCAACCCATATTAATTACTCCTGAACAGTGTTTGACAAGATGCAATAGAGACACACCTAAACTCTGCAGCACGAGGGCTTAGGATGATCTGGGCGAGGCATATTCGGCAAATTGCAAAAATGTGTAGTGGCGACATTGATTTCATATATGCAACCTATTTTCACACTTAAAACTATAGTTTCAAGAATAGCGACTCAAACCTGCATTTTGCACGCAAGTCCCTAGGATCCCTACCACCTTAGTGACTCTTGAGTCTTTTCAAACAATGCTCCTAAAAGCTAAAATTAATGTTATGTGAAACTAATTTCTCTAAAGTAATTGCATTATATATAAGTAATTTATCACCCAAGTGTTTCGGGATCGTATATCAATAGCATTTTAACCATGTGCAACTTTAACGGGATCTCTTCAAGCAAACAAACCTATATGTACTTGCTCAACTCAAGGATAATAGCGATGTTGTGCCTACTGCCAAATTGGCAATAAATATTGAGAATCTATTAGACTAAACCATCAAAATGTGAAATATCCAAACACACACTCACCAAAAGGGATACCGAAGCAAAAATCGTGGATCTTAGCTGTCTTCTTCTGCTCTACAACATCCGGAATCAAAGTTCCATTCCCACCAATTTTTCCATTAACATGTTCCTCTGTCCCAGGATACGATTTCTCCACCGATTCCACGATTGGGCTCGATAAATCAGCCGCATAACTTAGCTTAGGCATGTTGCCTGAACTAGAGGTTTCAGCATCCTGTCCTTCAACGCTCCTAATAACTGATAACTATAAAAGCACCTTCTACCATCAGTATTATTTCAACAAAATTATATGAATATCAACCATATGCATAGATTAGTATCAACATAAACATCAATTTACCTACTATAGCAACAAAATTAGAATAATTAAATAAATCTACATCAAAATTTACGCATAATTATTATTTGATCTACATCGCTACAAATTATTAAGTTACAATTGCATAAAAAATTCATAATTGCTACAAAATTATATGAAATATTGAACATCTTTCGTAAAGATCTCAAATTGTAGGATAAGTGAAACTGTTAAATAAAATTAAACGAGAAATTATCGGAAAATTAGGGTTTTGATGAATAATTTGGTACCTTTGAACGATGATTGAAGAATAGCGATGACGATCGGCGTTGTTGAAGATGAAAATTGCGGCTGATGTATGAGGAGCATGATAATTGAGAGATTGTTGCTGGCATTTTTGCGATCTTGGATTGAAAAATCGATCGAAATTTTTTGCGATTGGATTTGGCTGAATTGTGAAAACTAATTTACAATTGAAATTGGAAAATGTGGGAATAAATAAATTGAAATGCGTGGGTGTAAATGCGTGGGTGTAAATGCGTGGGAATAAATTCAATGGAAAGGTTTTAACTACCACCAGAACCGAGTTTTATAGTTTTACATGATAATAACGAGGGTTAGATTGTGCCTATGCCATGGTTTGACTAGGAATATAGACATAGCAGCTAAGTCAATTTGATTGAGTTCGGGTCATTTCAAGTGCTGTCTAAGTTTGGAACGAACCAATTTAGATTTTAAGTTTGATTTTGTATTATTATTGTTGAGTTAGGTGCACTTTAATTTGAGATTTCAATCTAATAACGAAACAACAAACAAGTCATTTTTGAGAACAAATCAATAGCTATAGAGAAAACATGACATATTACTATTCTTTCACTTAGGATCAAAAGTTTCATATGTGGTTGACCACATCACATGGCTGGGCTTACTTGGTCAGGGTTACTCGGTCGATTTGGTATTACTCAATTAGGGGTTATTTGTTTAAGGATTACTCAATCAATTAGGGTTACCCTTACCCTTACTTGGTCGATCAGGGTTTTGGTCAAGAGTTACTCGGTCGATTAGGGGTTACTTGGTCAAGGGTTACTTAGTCAATTAGGAGTTACTTGATCAGTTGGGAGATACTTGACCGGTCAGGATTTACTCAGTCAGGAATTACACGATTAGTATTTTAGAGTGTGTCAACCAGCCACACGGTATAGCTAGTGACACAAAAAAATGCGCTGACTTTAGGTCTTTGTGTCCTACGGTTCTACAGTACTAAATTATGACATTGGCGCCTTTTTTCGGCAGTCTAAAATAGATAAACCCCAATACCCCTTCTCCAGTTCTTCCTCTTTCCACATTATAATTTTCCAAAACCCTAAATTTTGCAATTGAAGCATGAGCCTTCAATTGTTTCGCTCATTTCGCTTCTGCAGCAAAGTCATTCATAGCCGTTCATTCCTCTCCTCTTTCTCAACCCTGGTATATCTACCTCTCTCTTCTTTTCTTCCTATATTAATTTTGAATTATTGAATGATTTTAGTGCAGATTCCAATATTAATTAGCAGAAATTGCCAGACTTTAAGCATTTTGTCTGCTTTATTTCTGATTATCATTTTTATGCAGAACAAATTTTGTTAGTAATTTTTTTTTTTTTTTTTTTTTTGATATATTAAAACTTATAAAACTGAGCTGCTCGAATATCACCTAGTTAGTGTACACAGTGTTGGTATTAGTCTCCCCAAATTCTGAATAATGAGGATTGACCTTCAAATACGAAAGAATTAGTAGTCAAAAGGCAAAAGCGCTAATTTAATGACCGATAGGAAGCTTAGTTCATGAATTCATTAATGATTGAATTCAGTTTGGATGTTTGCATTTCTTTATGCCGAGGAAAACTGTTGTTGGCAAAGGTTACACAAACACACAAATACATTAAGGTTGTGGCATTGTGGGCCTTATGGCATAGTCTAAGCGCGTTAGGTGGTCAAAACAAAAACGAGAGAGAGAGAGAAACAAGGAAAAATTTACGACTTTTTATTAATCAATGAAAAATTAAGTTATTAGTCACTCCGTGTGATATTGTGTTCAAAATTCAACTAATACATTCTTGGTGAGAAAATTTATCATCTTGTCTATCAGTCTATATGAATAATCGGTTCATTAGGAAGTATCCAACCTTTGACCATCACAAAGTTGCCGATAGTGTGTAGCCATTAATCATTATGTATAGTAGAATATTTGTTTGTGGAGATCCAAACCATGGTTTTCCCACCTTGTTGTTGAGGAAGTGTCATTCACATAAAGTGCTTTCAACTAGTTATATGTCATTTATCACTTGATTATATTTTTTGGTCCTTTGTTTACAGACGAGGTGGTACAGATAAATTATATATTGGAGGTGATTTAAATGGGCATGTTGGGCGAGTCGAGATGGCTACGAGAGTGATCATGGAGGCTTTGGGTATGGGCAGAGGGACGCTGGTGGTGAAGCTATTATGGATTTTACCAATACTTGGTTTAAGAAGCGAGATTCAAACTTGATAACTTTCCAGAGTGGAATGGAGCAAATGCAGCACAAATAGACTTCCTGCTCACAAGGAGCACGGATAGACAAAGTTGCTTAAACTGCAAGGTCATCCCGGTAGAGAGTGTGGTCACCCAACACCGGCTTTTGGTTATGATTATTCGTTTGAAAGAGAAGGCAAAGAAAAAAGGAAGACAAGAGGAGCCAAGGATAAGATGGTGGACTTTAAGGGATGAAAATGCTAAGGTCTTTGCAGAAATGGTAATCAAGAAGGCGGATTGGGATGGAGAGGTGGATCCGGACATGACTTGGTTACGAATGAAGAACTGTTTCCTGAGAGTGGCTAAAGAGGTCTTAAGGGAATCAAGGGGAAGAACTTCGATGCGGAGAGATACTTCGTGGTGGAATGAAGAGGTGAAAGCAGTAATTAAGCAAAAAAGAGAATGCTATCAAGCCATTGGGAAAATGTAGGAGTGACGAAACATTTACAGCGTATAAGGAGGCTAAGAGTAAGGCAAAGGTAGCTGTTCGACAAGCGAAATAAAAGGCTTATTGGAGGTTTATGAAAAGCTTGACTCTAAGGAGGGAGAAAAGATCATTTATAAGATGGCTAAGAAAAGACAAGAGGCAAGGAAGGATATTGGCATGGTAAAATGTGTCAAAGATAAGAACCAAATTGTGCTAGTACAAGAGGAGGACATCAGGTGGAAGGGGTACTTTGATATATTGTTTAATGGAAGTAATGGAGTTGTGACAAGTGCTCCGTGAGTGATGAAGAAATCAACATGGAATATGTGCGGAGGATTAGAAGAGTAGAGGTGGAGATTGCACTGAAGAAGATGAAACCTAAGAAGGCGGTTGGCCCTAATGGTATACCGATAGAGGTGTGGAGGTGTTTGGGTAAGATTGGTATTGATTGGTTAACAAACCTCTTCAACATGATATGGAGGGCTACGAGGATCCTGGAAGATTGGAGGAAGAGCACCTTGGTCCTGGTTTATAAAAACAAAGGAGACGCTCAAGATTGTTCTAACTATCGAGGGATCAAGCTTATGAGCCACACTATGAAGTTGCGGGAAAGAGTAATTGAACATAGGTTGAGGGCATGCACAAGCATTTTGGATAACCAAATTAGATTTATGCCTGGGAGCTCTACAATGGAAGCAATCCATTTGATAAGACAAATGATGGAGTTTTATCGGGTAAAGAAGAAGGATCTTCATATGGTCTTTATTGATTTAGAGAAGGCATATGTCAAGGTGCCAAGAGAGGTACTTTGGTGGGCAATGTTGAAGAAAAGTATCCCACTAAGGTACGTGGATTTGGTTAAGGATATGTATCGGGATGTGTCAACAAATGTAAGGACATGTGGAGGGTTACAATTGGATTGCATCAAGAGTCTGCATTAAGCCCTTTTCTTTTTGCAACGGTTTTAGATGAAGTAATTAGACCAATTCAAGATGAGGTTCCATGATGTATGTTGTTTGCGGATGATATCGTTCTGGTGGATGAAACTAAAGATGGGGTTAATGCCAAGTTGGAGCAATGGAGGCAAAGGTTGGAATCTAGAGGGTTTAAGCTAAGTCGGATGAATATTTGGTATGCCGCGTGGTACTCAGAGGGGGGACAAGCGATGAAGCGGTAAGTTTGGATGGAAAGAATTTCACCATGAGTGAATGTTTTAAGTATCTTGGATCGATCATCCAGAAAAATGGTAACATTGATCAAGATGTGGCCCACGGGATTAATTCGGGGTGGCTTAAATGGAGAGCGGCCATAGGAGTGTTATGTGACCGAAACATTCCTTACAGTTGAAGGAAAAATTCTACAAGACTGTCATAAGACCAGTGTACAGAATGTTGGGTTTTTAAGGAGCACATTAAGAAGATGGAGGCTACGGAAATGCGCATGTTAAGGTGGATGTATGGGAACACTCTAAGAGATAGAATCAGAAATGAGGTTATTCGCAAGAAAGTAGGTGTGACAGGTATTGCGGACAATATAAGGGAAAATCGCTTGCATTGGTTTGGGCATGTAAGACGGAGACCTGAGGGTGCACCGGTTCGAAGAGTGGAAGAGTGGGACCATAGAGGGGTTAAACGAGGGAGAGGGAGACCGAAAATGACTTGGTTGGAAAGAGTTAGGAAGGATATGAAGTATATGGATTTGCGTGAGGATGAAGCATTGGATCATAAGGGATGGAGGAGGAAGATTTTTGCAGATGACCACACGGAATAATCAAGTTTGGTTCATGTAGCCGACCCCATTTATGGGATTAAGGCTTTGATTGTTTGATTGATTTTTTATATTTTTTGGTCCTTTGTTTATATTTTTTGTCTCAAATTATGCTTCTTGTGCTTATTCAATCAATGATATTAGCATATAAATATAGCTTTATACAAGTATTTCACACGATAGAATCCCATATTTTCAATGCCTCGGATCTTTTTTTACCAGTCACTTATGATGTCATGATGTTGATTACTGATTTACTGCTCAATGTTTGGATTTACCATCAACTGTCACTTTTGTAATATTGTCCTTCACCTTTTTCCTGTTTGGTTTGTCTCTAGCAGATCTTACACGATTCTATTAATTATTTGTCATTTGAGTATATGTTCTATATTCTTAGCTATTTTGATAGGTAATACATACTCTATATTTTTTCAGCATTGGGAACCTGAAAGCTGTACCCCTTCTGACGACTTACAGGCCTGCTTTCCATCTGCTATAGGTATAGTGCCTCAGCCTCTCTTAACTAGCTTTGGTTATAAACCAGAATGAGCAATGTGCATCTTGCATTGCCAGATCTTAACTTGTTGATTTATGTTTAACAGCTTTTGTCTTTCTTTCCCTCATAAGCAGCAATTTCAAGTTTTACTTATTTGCTTATTTTTTTTATTTCAAATGTGATTTTCCTCAGCTATAACACACAAATAAAAAAGTCCACTACTACAAAAACTCCTTTGCCTTGTGATTTGCTCTATTTAGTGTTTCCTTTAGAAGTAATTGTAGCAAGCTTCTGAATGGAGGATGTAAAATATGTAAATCCCTTGTGAAATATTAACATCAAAAGTTCTTGTTTGCAGATGATACATCGGAAATCGAATTTGATGAACTTGTTGATGATGGAGCTGCCAAGGAGAAACACACTGCATTGCATGGTGCTCTAACGCAACTTGCAAGTGAATTTGGGAAAGAGTGCAGGTTGTCTTTGCCAAATTTCTTTATTCCCCGTTGCGCTTCAGTGATATCAACAGGGTCCTTAAAGCTTGACCTGGCTCTTGGGATAGGAGGTTTACCAAAGGTATTGAACTTAAGTGGATATAACACTCTTCTAGCATACTTTGGTTTTATGACTCAATTTATTTTAAGGTTTGGAGATTTGTGTGAATGGATAGGATCTAGGTTGAAAGATTGGATTGGACCTAGATTAGGCCAAAATGCCATGCCCATTCCCTATCTAATCAAACCTGAATTGCACCAGAAACAAAATAACATGTTTTTGAGCCAAACCTAATTGTTCCGATATCAACTAAACGTGCTCAAATTTTGATATGATCAAAATTAATTGAATTCATTACTCCCGCCCTTTTGGAGAATTGAAACGCTCCCTTGGGCACACAGTTAAGAAAATAATGGGTGTGGATCATAAATGAGTTGTTTAATGTAAAGTTAGTGGATTTATTTTACATTGTTTTGTTAATTTGTAATCAAAAGGGTTACACGAGAGTAGGAGAAGTTGGTGGGTACAATATAATAATTGTGTTTCCTTTCCAATTATGGTACCATGCATATTATTCTTAAATGGCCAAAAGAGGAAAGTGTGTCATTATTTTGAAATAAAGGGAGTATTATCTTATCGAGAATAAACTCCCAACTGCATTGATTCTTTCACATGTTTTTGGTTTTCTTACAATCTTATATATCGCTTAATATGATCAGCACACCTATGTCAAGTTGATAACCACTTTCTTGTTGATATGTTATGGTTTAATTAAAATTTTCAATTTGACAAACTACAAAGGTTTGACCTCCTTTGCATTTACGAACTTTTTAACCATGAAGACATTACTAGGTTCATGAACTTTTTACTGAATGAGAAATGTTTTTTCCCCTCTTTCAAGGATATGGAAGTGTTATATTTTTTCCCACTAAAAATGATCCTCGTCTTCCTTAAGAGAGTTTATTTGTTGAATAGGGGAGAATTGTCGAGATTTTTGGAAAGGAAGCCTCTGGAAAAACAACACTTGCCCTTCATGTGATTAAAGAAGCCCAAAAGCTTGGAGGTATGATCTGTCTCTCATTCTTCCATCATTTTTTTTCTTGTTGGTAATAAGTCATTTTATGGCTGTTATTTCACATCCATATTTCACAATAACAGCACGCCTGCTCACCTTTTTAATTAGTGAGATTTGTGCAACTGTCAGTCTAGTTTGACATGACATGTTTACCCTGTTTTGGTGTTTTGAAATCTGAGCAGGGGTGTTGCCAAATCAAATATCCAATCTGGTCTGAAAAAATTTGATATCCTATCCAAATTATCCAAACATTATAAGACCAAATCAGACATCTGTTTTTTCGGATCAGATATCTTATTTTTTCGGATATTTCAGATATTTAAAATTTTTAAAGGTGATTGTTTAATATTTTACTTTTAATAAAATTTTATTTTGTCTTAGAAAATTTAAAAATAGGATATTTTTGATATACAAATATAAAATGCAATCCAAATTTTTTGGATTTCATATCTGAAATATCTGATACATAAAAAGCCAGATTGGGTATCCTAAATTTTGCATCGGATTGACCAAATTGGATTTCTTTTCCCATTCCTAGCTCTGACATGGATCAACATGCAAGTGTACCTCAATCTTTGTAGAATGAGACAAGAATATAATAATTTGCAAATCCATCTGAAATGGTCTGTTGTAATATGCCTATACCAAAGCTGCCAGCTTGTTTCATTATGAATTATGAAAATTTCCATCATGTCTATAGTGCCCCCTCTCTAATAACTCCACCCTATTGGACTTTGTGTGGAGCAAGCCAGTGCTCTTTTAGTACTAGTCTCTGTACAACATAGTGGCGATATTGCTATTTCACACGCCCTATGAGATCCCAGAAAGCAAGTTTCTTTCAAATTGAATAACAGAGATGTTATTTAGGCTCCTAAAATGCTCTTTAGAGCTTTCCTATCGGCACTTTGTTTCAGCGCTTATTTCTTTCTTTGTTTTTGTGTTGAGGGTGAGGTAGAGGGGGTTAGTTGTGTACTTTTTTCTCCTTTTTTTTTTTTATTTATTTATTATTTTTTTTTTATTGTCTACAGTTTTAGAAATTATCATACTTTGAGATGCTAGTTTTAATTTCTTTGTTTAGTAACAGGTACGATAACTAGATTCACCCTGTGACACCATTAGCCTTGTTCTAATGAGTCTCTCTCTTCGGATTGGGTAATTGTTGTTTGGGGGGGGGGGGGGTTGAGGGAATTTATGCATCCTAATACAATTGCAAAAATGCTCTTTATACTTTGCCCTACAATTGCAACAAGGTTTGTTCGTGATAAACTTGATCTGAAAAGGAAACTAATTGACTCATTACATGATGACCTAAAAAAAACACGACAGTTTAGTGGTACTTGATGCATTTGATTTTGGACTCGTCTGGAGCTAAACATTTGTCGTGATGACCATTTTGTTAAAAGTGGATTGCCAGTTTGCCACAGGTCTTCTGCAGCTTCATCATTGTTGCATTAGCTTATATCCCTTTGCAATGCTGTGTTTAGCTCCAACAGATGATAAACATTGGATTCACATTTTCTTATGTTTAGCTCCAACAGATGATAAACATTAGCTTATATCCTTTTTCAATGCTGTGTTTAGCTGGGGAAAAAATTTGTCAAGTGATTTTTCCAATGTTACTTATTCTAGTTCTTGGTTTTTATTTAGGTGGGTATCAGCTGAGCTTCTATGGCCTTATAAGCCTTTAAAATTGTGATTGTCTTGTTGACTTCATGGCTTTCATGAGATTCAGTTATGAATATGTATGATAAATATTTCTCAATTTCTGGGGCTAGTTTATTGAGCAATAATTCTTAACTGTGGAGGTTTTATTGTGATATCAGCTCAGAGATATATACATTAATTTCTGCCTTATGGAGGCCAGACCACATTATACCATGAGTTATGTGCCCAACAGCTTTCTTTGTTGAGCTGTGTAAACTGCAAACAAATTGATGGTGGAAGTGGATGACCAATTCCAGATGGACTTTGTGAGCCATGGGTCTAGCCAATACTTATGATGTTGTAAGCAATTTTTTTTTAGAATAAAATTTCCCACTCCCTAGGGAAACTATGACCCTGGCTTACAAAATATAAGAGAAGGGTAGGCTTATTTGATGGTAGAAAACGGTTTCACGTTTATAATTTACCATCTCATGTTTCTTTTCTAGCACAATTTGACAAGTATTAGGGGAAAAATAGGGGTGGATAACCTGGTGATAGTCTTATGGGGCAGTTTCTTGTGGTAGTTGAATACTCTTCTGATATGATTATCTACCAAATTTTCTCTGCTGTGTTTCTTGATTTATACGCGCTATATGTCCTGTGAGCTTGGTGATTCATCTCTGTTTATCTGGAGTCCAATGGATAACATCCTTAAAATGTATTCCCTTGCAGGTTTTTGTGCATATCTTGATGCTGAAAATGCTATGGATCCCATGCTTGCTGAAGCCATTGGTGTTGATACAAAGAATCTGCTTATATCATGTCCAGATTCAGCGGAGAACATGCTTAGTGTAGTTGATAAATTGACCCAAAGTGGGTCATTAGATGTGATTGTGGTTGATAGTGTAAGTGATAACCTTCTTTTATGTTTTCTTATATTGTTTATTGTTTATTATCAACATGTGTTGCTTTGCTCTTCGGTTGTAAACTTGTAATCCTATATAAACATTATTTATCCTGATTTTTTATCTGTATATTTTGTCCCCAAACTCTTCGTTTCACGAAAAGAGGCCACTTTTTTTTATTTTACTGAATGTGGTGCTTGTATCTGATCTTAGGATTATGCAGGTAGCAGCTCTTGTTCCACAGTGTGAGCTTGATGGTGAAATTGGAACTGGTGAACCTGATGCCCTTTCAAAAATAATGACCAAGGCACTCAAAAGGATTCATTACTCATTATGTCGATCAAAAACACTCATCATATTTCTTAATCAGGTTGGATTAATTCCGTCCGTAAACAAATTGTGCACTTCATTTTGGCACAGAGATTAAGAAAATTTGCTAAATAATTTGGAAGCAGGCAGAGAGAGATTGTATCAAGTAAATGTTAGTGCTGGGATAAACCCCAAAAAAAAAAGGTGGGTATTTTTTATTTATCCCAGCATCTTGTGGAAAAGAAAAGTGGGTAAAAAAGGCCAGGGAAAAATATTTTGTGAAATTGACTAGAGAGAAGACCATAAGAGGATGCTTTTTGGATTTTTAAAATAGGCAATTGTGCTATTCATTTGAGGCTTAGGTGGTATTTTTACATATTTTTTATTCTTATTGTTACTTGTATATTCTTCTTTCTAACGAGAATATCCTTTATTTCTTGATGAAATTTCATTGGTTTAGGTAAGATACAGTCCAAGATCCAATCAGGGTCCTGGTATGAGGGATGAGGTAACTTGTGGTGGGAATGCCCTGGGATTCTACGCTGCAGCACGATTGAGAATTTCAAGAACTGGACTGTTAAAGCTGAATGATGAGGTCAGTTGATTAAAACAATGAACAAGTTCATATATTGTTTTGAAATTGTGCTCAACGCTATCTAAAGAATTTCTTGAATCAATCTTATGTGTTCAAATCCAGTGAGTTGTGCAAATATTGATTGGTGAATGGTTATAGCTTATATCCGACAGTGTTGCAGCAGTTGCTTCAGTTATTTTCAATTTAGGTATTATGCAGTTGATATTTTCTCTTCTTAACAGGGCTGCAACTGATCACATTAACAACTGATCTTCCTATTATTATCTGACTGAGTTTAAGAGGCTCTTAGGGGTTCCTCTCCCTGCATTAAAATTCGTCCACTGTCTTTTAGTGTAACTTGTGGTTGGTTGTTTTTTCCTTTGATCTTGACATTAGTCAACAATGAAATTACTCAGTCATGCTTATAGAGTAAAGAAAGCAAGCGACTCTAGAAGCCAGATATGTCATTTTTGTTTCCAGTGTTAAAAGTTGACTTTGAGATGGCATTACAAGTAAATTGTACACGAAAACTTGTCTTTTTTACTAATTATGGAATATCTATAATTCTCATCTCATGTCTTGATGCGAGACATGGGTATTTATTCTCTCATGTCAATATGGAACATCTTGATATAATATTTGTGTTTTAGTCCATTTTGTTTGAAAACTCTCCTGTCGCTGAATTGTTTATTGTATATGTGCTTAAGGTGACTGGCATCAAGATATGTGTTCAAGTGATGAAAAATAAATTAGCACCAGGAATGAAGAGCACTAAATTGGGAATTGACTTTGGAAGAGGATTACGCTTTGAACCTGAGGTCTTAGAATTGGCTATTGAGCATGGTCTGATTATAAAGCAAGGTGATAGTTATTTGATTGAGGGGGAATCTGTTAGCAGTGAGCATGCTGCTGAAAGATATTTGGCAGAAAATGAGATAGTTTTGGAGAAAGTGGTCATGGACTTGAGACGTCAGTTATTTGACAGGAATTCCTGATTGCCTTGTATCATTGGTTTGATAATCTTTGCTGCACTTGATTATTACTGTGAAGTCACTGCTATACTGTGGTAACATTGCTAGAGGATCCGTGTGAAGCTTTATGTATTACTATTTGTCTCCTTGGGGCAGGTTTTAAACGGATTCGGATGCTCTCTATCTAGGGGTTAGAAAATCAGACCTGTGGTTTCAGGAGAATTTAAGTCTGATCCTGCTCTCTGTGTAATGAAGCTGATTCTTTCATGGAACAAAGGGGTCCATTAAATTTAAGTGTTCCTGCAGAACCTTCTGCCATGTCGAGTTCTTGTTCTGTTTTTTTTTATTTTAGTGAACCTTCCTCCCTGGTATTCCCCTTTATTTGAAACGATACAGTGGCATCACTCTTCAGCGCTGTGCATTTTTATTTAAATACTAGTACTAGATTAGGATTGCTAACTTTATTGCTTGTGTAATATAACCAACTCTGTTCCTTACAAGCCTTTGTAGCTCTTTGAAAATACTAGATCCTATTTCCTGTAGCGAAAATTTGCAGGATCGTACTTCATTCTGTCTTATGAGTTATGTCCTTTCATTTTTTTGGTTGTGCCATAGTATCTACATTAATTAGTTTATTGAGGTATATAAATATGTGCTTTCATGAGAAATTTATCATAAGTTTGTCATTTATTATGTACGTTATCAAATTTTCTTTGGGTGTGAGTTTCCACGCCCAAATTGTGTCTTAAATCCATGTGTAGATTGTGTATCATACCCATAGTGCCCTAAATGAATATGTTTCTTACTAAGAATTATACGCTACTTTTCAAAATGAATTAAGGAGAAAATAAACACGGTGAAGATATGTGTTCCGACAACCTTATGCTTCGTATAATTATATTCATTTGGAGCACCATATAAAGATTTTTGGATATTGTATTCAGAATTTGCATGATTGTGGTGGTATGTTAAAATGATTATGGTGATTGGGATTTGCATAAATGGTACTTCCCTATATTTTTTAAGGAGTGTCCTCGATCAAGTACAACAATTACTCGACCAAGTACAACAATTACTTAATATAATATAGGATTAATTAAGGAGATTATTAATTCGGTTATTTTAGGAATCGTAATGTTTTGCTATAAACCAACTACGATTTGCAGACCTATTATTTAATGGGTTTGCTGCTAAATGTAATCGGATCCTATAAAGTCACACATAAAAAGCACGAGATGGAAAATGCACACAAAGCCAATAAAGGTTAAGTGGGCGGTTATTTTGAGGAGTCATTATATATACTATTACAGAGAATAGAAATTATATGTCACTTCTCATAATAACTACATCCCTAAAAAGTGAGAAGAGAGAAAAGTTTTCTTCCTCCTTCTTCCGTACTAGCATACGTGGGATTCATCTCGGGTTTTGTGGACCAAGTAGAGGAATTACAATTGAGATTCTGGATCTCCGAAGGAGGACAATCTAAGGCTAACGAGGAGTACACGCATCAAAGGTATATCATACTACTTTATGTGATTCGTATTATTTATACGCATGAGATCCTGTTTTAGATGTTTAGAAAGTGTTCCTGAAATTCCGCTATCTCATCTAATATGTTCCTACAATTTTCTCCTCCCTGCCCCTTCTAATATTGGCATCTTCTATGTTTTGCTGTTATTTCTGGGAGATCTTAACTGTCTTGCTGTTGCATTCTGTGATACTATAACTAAATCTTTTGGAAGCTAAAAATAGTATTACTCTGTAATAGGTGGATTTTAGCTGTGTAATTATGGATGACACGGTAATAATGTAGCTACCCCTTTGTGTTGGTATATGAGGGGAGTTTTAAGTCCTGTTTTATATGGGTCATGCAAAAAATATTTCCCCTCCTCAGGAATTCGAGCTGTACCCTCGAATCCTGTTGAAAGATAGGGGTGCTCCTTGGAACTCGAACACAGGGAGGAGCTGAGGATTCCTCGGCTAGTCCATCAACCATGATATTGCTCGTCATTGGACTTCTCTTAGCTTTTAACTTGCAGCAATCAGGTCAGTTTCATCATCGTCGTTGATGATCATCATGATCAAAAGTTAGTCTTTCAAACATTATAGCAACAATGGTGAATGCCTAGATAATTTTGGAATTGAACACAATTTTATGACATGAAGCATATATTTATGTCATAAGACTTAAATTGGAATGATCCAACCTGAAATTTGGAAGCAAAATGAAAGCAACTTCTAGTTCTGTATGATTTTGTTAATTATTTCTGTATATTTTTTTTTTCCTTCATGCAGAGGCTCAAGTTGGAGTTTGTTACAAAACACCAGGAAAGAATGAAACACCCCCAGAAGAAGCTATAGCTCTTCTGGAAAGACATAACATAAAACGAATTCGACTGTATGAACCAAATAAGGAGACCTTAACAGCCCTGAAGAGTACAGATATTAAAGTTTTGCTTGGTGTGCCAAACTCAGTACTCTTACCCCTTGCCAATGATCCTGCTGTAGCTGAATCGTGGGTGCAAACTAATGTCAAGGCCTACTCTCCTGCTGTTAAATTCAAGTACCTCGTTGTTGGTAATGAGATAAGCACTAACAATATGAATAACCCTTTGTCTTTCGTCCTCCTAAACGCCATGCAAAACATCCAAAATGCACTGGCTAAGCAGGGATTAAGGTATATCAAGGTAACGACCGCCTTTGATACTTTAGTCCTTAAAAATCCATTTACTGATCGTCCATCAAACGTCTCCTTCGTGGCCGAGGCTCTCTTGTTCCTGGATCCCATCCTGAAATTTCTGTTGGAAAATCATGCTCCTGTTATGGTCAATATATACCCTTACTATGCCCATATTCTTAATCCAACGGGGTCAACACTTGACTATGCCCTTTTCAATGCCCCTGGTGGAAACTTGTTCGTGGACTTGGTGGATTCCATGTACTCAGCCTTAAAGAAGATGGGTTATGACTCAATTAACGTCGTTGTGGGAGAGACTGGCTGGCCCTCAGCTGGTGGTGTTGCTGCGAGTGTTGAGAATCAGAAGACGTACATCAGTAAGCTGTGTAAGCAAATAAAGAAAGGTACACTGATGAAGCCTAAAAAGCATATTGAGACTTACTTGTATTCTGTATTTGATGAGGATATTCAGGGAGTTCCTGAAGTTGAGAAACATTGGGGCTTATTTACTCCTAACAAAGAATTTAAGTTCGAGTTTTCTGGACCATTGAAATAGCTTAGTTAAGGTTTCCATTCCATGGTTGTACATGTTAATAAATTATGTGCTTACATAGTTTGCTGTTTAATTGATTTTATTTACAGAGTATGTACTGATCTGTTTATTTTGTATCCCCATTGGAATAGATATGAAGTACAAATTTATACCATTAGGTGTGAATCACGTTGTTTAAATCAATTTCAGGTCAAGCTAAAAGTAATAAGGTGAAGAGAACAAAGCCTAATATTGGGTCACATAACTCACATTAACTTTTGGGCCGGACAGGTTCAGGTCAACTTTCAAACCATGTAATTTTGGACACAATTAGTAATTTAGATTGAGCAATCAAACGAGTCAATTTTGTCAAGTCTATTTACTAGTCATAATTGATTCAGTTCGTAGGAGAAGCCAATGTCTTCAGCCCTTCAGTAGCACAGGAACTTGTAAAAACAACACAATTAACCTTCTGCCAAACAAAATGTACATTGGTATTATTGGATTATTTCATCAAAGAAGAAGAAGATGTACACCATTGCAGAAGCCACCCCCAATCAATAAATCAAAATCGAAAAAAAAAAGTTACAAAAAATAAAATAATGTATTAACACCAAGATATTCTATACCACCCTCAAATCAACCTAGTCCACAACTCTTTGACACTCAATTTTACAGTATTAACTATCTATGTGTTGGTCAATATAAAATTTTCACTCTTTTGTTTCATCAAATCCCAGGAAAAAACAATCACAAACCAAAATTTTTATGACAAAATGAGCCCAATAAATAAATAAAAAGGAGAAATTCATCAATTTCCAAACTTATTGGTGAAGAACTCCCATGTTTTGAGATAATTGACTAGGAACAATTTGTCCTTCCAATTGCACTGGACTCACCATTGTAATAAGACCAAGAAGAATGTAGCCTACTCTTACACGGCGATCCATATTGCTCGAAACATGTATCGAGGTACCCTATCCTTTGTCGCGGTGTACTCAATGATCTCATCTTTGCCTTGGCTGATTCTGTCACAGCCATGTAAGTAGGAAACATAGTAGAGTTGGATAGCTGGAAGTCGTCGATGCCTTGTTTTAGCCTCGTGTGAGAAAATGATCTTCTAGGATGCGAATATGGGGAGCTCACTTCCTCTGTAAAATCCTGTTTTGGTAAATTTGTAGCCCTTGATTTGATCCTCAAGTTTGTTCCTAAGTCCCAGCTCCTTGTATTCGGATGTAACTCTAAGATTGCGCCTTTTGAATATCCCTTGTCACGGATTTCTTCCTCGGTCCATTGTTTTCTTAGACATGTTTTTCCTTCATTGTTTCGGAGTGGCAGTGTTTCTTCAAGTATTTGAGAACATTTCCTCTCCTGTAAAATGTCCTTGGAATTTTATACACTTTTCACATTCCATTCCTTCATAAACATCTATGGTCCATTTGGTTGGCGTACTATGCGAATTTGTATGTGAACAAATGAAAATTCATTATTTATTATTGCCTACCAAACGGGTTGTTAAGAGTTATAGGAAAAGTAAGAATGTAGTTACCCGATGAGAGAATGAATATTGCTTCATTCGCTCTCTTCTAAAGACGGCTTCTTGCTTGTGCAAGTATATGGATTCGATCTCCTCCTTCGAAAACAAGCTGTCAGTCCATTGCCTCTGGTTCTCGCATTGAAGCTGCTCAACATGAAAAAGAATTTTTAGCAAAGAAAATGTTAGGCTAAAACAGATTTTAACAGCAAAAGTTTCCCTACCTTGGATTTTTCTCCTACTATGTTCTTTGTGCTAGGAGATTGATCAATTACACTAGGAACTCTTATTGTATGGACTACCTTTGTGGGACTCACACACTTCAAATGCTGAAGTTTTGTGCTCACTCGACGTCTCACAGCTCGTCCTCGTGCTATTGCTTGTATTCTTACCACTCCTTTTAGTGCTCTCAGTGCCTTCCTTGCCTGAAAGTTTACCCAAATCAAGCTCAAATTAGCCATTTCAAATAAAATAAGGGAGGGAAAAATATATATACTTTAGCATTAAAAAAAAAGTCAAATATTCAATCATAAATCATGATTCTATATTAAATATTGCACTGTAGATTGGCAGTTCGACTATGTTCACTTACAACAGATTTTATACTAAACAAAACTAACTATGAATCTATGTTTTTTTTTTTTTTTTTTTACTGATTAAAACTTATTTTATAACTCGAATAAAATGAGACCTTAGGAGGGTAATAAAGATGCCAGGAATGTTAACGTGGTCTATAGAGGTCTTACAAGGTATCCCCTGAAAGAACTCTGAATCTTGATAGCAGCCAAGTACTGAACCTCTCTTTCATGTTGTCGTAACGACGAATGTCGGGACACACTCGTGAGCCTGACTACCTCCGCAGCTGCTTGAGCTGCAGCTACTGCAGCCTCAGCAGCCGCGGCAGTGGCCCGAGCAACATTCATTGCAATCTTCCTCTGCTCATCTCTGGCTTCACTTAGTGACTTTTCTTGTAATGTTGTTGATGTTGCAGGGAGTTGTTTGAACCTTAACCTATCAAAAATCCAACCCCAACGCTTTTGTTTACCCTGCAAAAGTTCAGCAATTTAATTTAATCATTACATAAACTAATTAAATTTAGTGATCAAATAATGGGTAATTGAAATAGAGGAAAATTCAAAAGAAAAAAAAAATTGTGACCTTTTTTGCTTTTGGTTTGGATTCACAACTTATTAGATTCTTGAGAAGATTAAACCACCAATTCTTCTTAGCCATAAAGATTATGGACCAATTAATCACAACAATTAATTTCCTGAAAAATTAAGGAGAAATATCAATACCCATTTGTAATTAATTAAAGCATTTACATTAAAAAAAAAAAAGTATATAAAATTAATATAGACTTAATAATTGTATTTCTGTAGAAGGGTACTAAAATGCTTAAAAAGGCACTTTAGCAATTTTATCCAAATTCCACTAAAAAAGGAAAAAGATGAAGACACTAAGAAACTTCACATGAAGACTTTAAGATTGCAAAACTCCATCAAAGAGTAATAATTTTAGTGTAACATACCTTAGTTGATAAAGTAATAGGAGTAAGTCGGGGTCGAATAGCAACACATAAGACTAGTGATAGATGAAACCCGTCAACACCAGTATGAATAGCGTCACTTAAACTCTCAAAACAAAACGACTTGAAAATCTACTAGTTAAAGTAATGAAAATATAGCATACTTGTATTATTATAAGCTATGATATTGGACCGACCCTCAAAATTCTGTTGTTGGGTTGAAAATTATGCCAAAAAAAGAGGCACAAAAATTAGAGTGAATAAATAAAAGAATTGAAGTGGAAGAACATGTATCTACCCTTTGATGTTTGGTGTGACAAAAGAAAAGAAGAGATGTCATATTTCATTCTCTCTCTTTCCTACTTATAACTGCTTAAGAGAAGACTAGTTCCAACTTTTTTTTTTTTTGTTTTGTAAAATAGTCTATTACCTACGGCGGACCACACTGTACTTTCCCAAGTCTATCATAGGAGTTATTCATTGCTGCCAATGTGTCCTTTTGATGATCACTTTTTGAGAAATTAAATAAAAAAAGTATTTTTCTTATGAAAAATTGTTTACACAACTAAAAATGCAAAACTTGTTGATTTTGGAAAGAGAGCAGAAATAGTTCTTTGAATATTATTACTCTACTTTCTTGGTGTTAAGTTGGTTGGAGTTTGTATCTAGTTATTATAAAGGTGAAACTGATTAAAAGTTAAGTTAAATATATATAATCCATAAAATTTATACTTCTTATATTAGGAAATAAGATGCTTTATGATCATTTGATCTAGTATTACATGTATTGACATTACCCTTTCATTTTACACCCAATGATGAAAGGAATAGTTTACCTAGGGGATATATTTGTATCAATAAGTTGCAAAATAGGGGGACACATTTAATCGTTGTTTTGTTTGTTAATGTTAGAAGTTAGCTGTCAAATTAGTTGTTTAAGGTAAGTTTTGAAGTTTTTGATACAAATTATTATCCTAAACGTTGTTACGGTAGTTTATGCTGGATATGAAGTACATGTACTATGCGAGTATGCAAGACTTTGCTCTAAAAGATACTAGGTATGCTCATATTGCTCACGCTATTTTCCCCGGACTCTAATAATATTCAGAATTCATATAATGTTTAACTTATTCTACATATACTAAAATTTACACCAAAAGTTATTGTCGGACATCCTACTCTATAAAAATCTTTTGGATCTCCATAAATTCTTATATTTTAAACATATTAATTATTAAAATCAACAAATTAAACCTATATACTATAAGTTAAAATATGATGATTATTATTCCTCAAAAAATAGATGAAAATTATTATAGGATCAGATTGAGAATATAATATTGACAAATAGAATGTTTGTTACAGAAATTAATATGGCTTTCTCAAAATCAGGACACACCAATCACTTTAATAATTGACTTAAAGGGAAAAAATAATAAATTTTATAATTAAAAAAAAAAAAAAAAAAAAAAAAACCTTTAATTTTATTTTCCAATAATTAAGAAAGTAGTGGTGTCAGATGTAAAGATGAAGCTAAAAAAAAATGCATGTGGGTGTAGGGAAGCTTAGGGCAAAGTGATGTAATGTCTTTAAGCCTGAAAAACAAACATTCAGCCAAAAATCCATTATTATAGTGATGTAACTTCCTACCTTAATTTGACTAACATTTGATTCAGTGAAGAATTTGATTGCTGCCAAAATCCATTTGCAGGATGAATGCTATTTATATATTTAGGGTCTGTTCTGTTCAACTAAGTTTAGTTTAGTTCAGTTTAGCTCCATTCAGTTTAGTTTAGTTCTTAATTTCTATCTCTCATAAACAATTCATTTCAGCTCTATTCAATTCAGTTTAGTCTCAATCAGTTCAGTTCGGTAAATCGGAATAGGCCCTCATTCTTTGTACATCCAAAATAAATGGCTTAACCCCATGTCCTCCCATCTCTTACGAGTATGGCATCCATTACGTAGTACTCCGAAGTAGCTACACATGTTATTGGTTGAGATTCGGGGATCAAAGAAGGTAAGAAAATCTCCACTCTAAAAAACAAGTACAGTAAGTTATAAGCCTCGAACTTGACACCTTATTAAACTCAGTAGGTTAGTTTCGTGATATCATGAATTTGGATTTACATATTTATTAGTATGCATTTCGATGCAATATGAGTTATATATTCGACTTATAGAGCGTACATACATATTTGCACTTCAAATAATGATGTTTTGATTAGTGCTCTTACTCTCTCAGAAATACATATAACCATTGATCCAGTATACATAATTTTACTTTATTTTAGAAGGAGGAAAATATCACTTTCTTTATTATTATATGTGAAGAATAAACGATGGCTCATCCCATTAGGGAGCCCTAACACTCATATATAAAAATAAACAGTATTGTTACACAATTACATAAATAACCTTAGGGTTACACTATTATTATATCTTTAGTTACATAAAATTCATGGCCAACTTCAAGCTTCCAACTCAATAGAAACTTGATGATATAATGATGAACTTTGAAAGTTAATTATGAGAACTAATTAAGTAGCTTAATAACTTCCAATAATGATCAAGCTAAGGCCTTCCAAAAAAGTGGGGTATAGTACTTGAAAGAGACTTATAATTACTGTTTTAAGAAAATCAAGACACGTGAAAGACTATCCACCCTTATATTTAGACCCCACATCTTGTTATTGCAAGAACATGCTCTAATCTCACACATCATAATTTAAAATTAGTGATTATGACAATTATAAAATTGGCACTTGACTACTTGAGTTGTAACATCATAAATTGTTGCTATAATTTAACTAAAAAGTCAGAAGATTTTGAATTTTGTAGGTGAATTAATAATTTAATTTTAGTTGAATTTCATTGATTTTAATTTATTAAATTTAATTAATTATAGTCAATTTAATATTTGCTTAAATGATGTGATATCCATCTATAGATTATGGTCTATGGATATCTTTTGAGCTGTACCAATTTTTTCTTATCCCCAAAAGTCCTTTGCAATAAAGTAATGTTTTTTTTCTTTTTCTTCAAAGTATGACTAGTCCTTACTCCTTAGTTTCTATCATGTGGTACAAGTTGATGTAAATGGATCAAATTTATATAAAAGTATAATGACAAAAGAAAATTTTTGGAACATTATTGAATTCATTTGAAAGGATGGTTATAGCTAGGTTGGAGTTACTATATATAGGAAGTCCCAATTGGTTTTCTTTCCATAAAAAGTTACTCTAGTTGATTGATGAATAATATTAAATTGATGAATTCTGGTTATGAATTGAAGATTCTTATCATTGAAAAGTATTTTGTCTATCCTAGGTAAAGGGAGAAATTAAAATGGACCGTTTTGATTATATTTGAATCAAATCGGGTCAAAAGACGAGATGAACTTAAATTGTTTAGAAATTATATCTAGTTTTGTTGGGTTGTGTTTATTATTTGAATTTGAGTTTAATTATAATCTAAGGTATTTTGACTTTAACCATACTGATTTCCGAGTTTGATGAATACCAACCAAGTAGCATGGGGTTTAGAAATTATATTTGGTTGTTCTGTTCATGATTTTCAAGTTCAAGCTGAAATTGATAAACGCACACAATTAAAACAGCAACATAAAAAGAACAAGAACCGAGGAAGTACCATTATATATTTATTTGTTATTTTAAATTTTGGAAAGAAGAATATAATCATTCCAAATTGAATCAAATAAACAGTTCACATAAAGGTCAGGTAGGTACCTTTAGTTTCAAGAAATGAAGTAGCTATAGCATAGCTAGATGAATACCAGTGTCATCATTTGGAGCTCATCATCTAAAGCAAAAAGATTTATCAAGAGATGCATGCAATCAGAAATTAATTAAACATTTAAACTCATTAATCTTCATAATTACACACATATCCTCATCATTAAGCATTGTTTGTTATTCATGCAAAAAATAAATCAAAGTGTAAAAAGTAACTCTTTAATTTGTAGTAATTATATAATATATCCTAACATATGATATAGTTATTGCATTAAATCTTGGTCCCAGATGAAAGTATGTGGAAGAATGTACACCCTCAAAAAAATAATTGGATTTTCTGTTCAACTTCATCTTACAGGGCCAGGGTGGATCTAATGACTTAGAGCCGAAAGAAGATTTCCACACCTCTAAATTAGATTATATTCATGTTTCTAGTTAATTTTTTTTTTTTTTTAATTATATACTTATAAATTATGCTTTCTCTTTTTCAGTTCACCCTAGTTATAGACATTTTCTTCATGTTCTATATGTATGTAAGTATGATCTTGTGGTAGAAACTAGAAAGACAACATATTTGATTTAAGAGTTCCCTTATTTCTTTTTAAAGTCTCATACTCTCATTGATACTTTTGTGAATTTGTGTAAGTGAATCCAATGATGCATCTTACCATTATTAAGATATTTAATACTTTCCAAAAAAAAAAAAGGTATTTTATACTAGTAATTTCATTTTCGAGTTGAAAATGATTCATTTTTCCCTGCTTTTTGTTGAGGAAGCTCCAATTTATCTCTTTGTTTATCAAGTGATAAAATTGTAATTAAATTAACAAAAATGCCTAATCAATATGACATGTTAAACTTACAAGTTTATATACTAGTATTTGTTAAAAAGTAAGTCTCTATTTCTCAATAGATGCATCATTCTGACTTTTTACATTATCCTCTTCTGTGAATCAGCCCAACCAATAGGCCCAACTCTATCATTAATTTCCCTTTCTCGATTCCTCACCTTGGCCCTTAGCTTGTTGTATCGTGTTATGAGGATTTGAAACTAATACCAAGGCCATGAAATTTGGTGTATGTTACCAACCTTGCAAATTACTCCGTAGTAAGTTAAATACTTATTACAGAGTGCATTTTGATCAACAATATCCTGAGAAAGTGCTTCTGTGTCATGTCAAGAATTAGCAATCTTATATCCGAATAGCATAAGGGTGAAGGGAAGAATGTTTGTCACATTAGGAAAGTGGACAAATTTACTTGGAACATTTCTAACAGTTGGATAGTTATATTAATCTATTGGAATCTAACCTATTGCAACCAAATTCTCCCATCACAATGATCTAGTATACTTCTCCAAGGTCATTTATCTGTTGCGTATTGTACCAAGGTAATATGACTCGTTTGGTAGGTGATTATAAATTACATGAACAATAATGAAGATTTGTGTAAATTTACATGGAAAATTATACCTTGGAAAATGTTTATGTACAGAACAAGCTGCCAATGCCTTATTCGAAGTTCTTTTTAGTGGAAAGAAGCAGAGGAAGTAGATGACATCAAGACTTCAACGAAACATGACTATGTACAGAACCGTCCTCCATTGTAATCCATGACTTGAGAGAGAATGGCTGCTCAGTGATCTCGAGTATTCTAGCTCCTCTAGCCCAATTTCCATAACCACCATAACCAGTGTGGCGCGCAAAGCAAAGCCAGAATTTTTTGCAAGGGCAGCACCAGTCTAGTCCATGATTGTGCCCCACAAACACAGCCTAGTATAAATATGAAGCAGACTATGTAACTATTGTATAAATCCTAATATACGTGCTGATATGATCATGGAAGAACAAAAGATTTAAACAACAAACTTTTTTTATAATCAACCAGAATGTTTACACCAAGTAAGATTGACGACTGACTGAACTTTTGCTGTAAAGAATGTTTATAATTTGAATAACTAACGTTGCAGTTGTGAATGTGCATACCTGAACTGAAGACCGAGCTTCTAAGGCATTCATGATCCCATATTCAGCTTCTTGAGGAGCAACAGTCTCTTTGTTTATCGATCCTACACAAGGTTTATCTATTTCACCAGAAGGTGCCACAGTTTTGTAAGCTCTGCTAGGAATATGCCAAAAGATTATCTCAGGCACTCTGAAAGAGTTAATCTGTCATATTAGTTACTGTCCGGGAAAACTTGAAGAAACAAATCAATATCATGCACAATTTTATGTACCTTGAGTCAGGGTTGATTTCCATAGACGTGCTGTTAAACCATTTTGCTTGTGCAGATGATATGACTTCCGGATAAGACCCTCCACCAGAATCTAGGAAGTACAGGTAGGCTACCGGTGATTCTGAATCATCTGACGATGAAATCTTGAGGACGTAGTTGGACACACTAGGCCATAGGTTTTTAGGACCCTTTTGAGAGAATGATAATGTCTTGCTTCCAATGTCATGATTTATCAACTGCAAACGCGTTGTGCCCATGAAGCCGCAATTATCCTCCCCTGCAGGATGAATCGTAATCAATGCTTCTTGCATAGGCATACATACATAAAGGAAAAAAGATCGAAAGGCTGGACTAAGGCTTTGTGCTCTTAACCTTGCAAAATATCAATTTCCAAAAAAATATTCAGCTGATCAGGGCTACCCAAGTTCAAGTTCAATTTATAACTAAAACATATTAAGATAAGGTGTAACAAAAATAAGTAGATAGGTTTCTTGTGTGAAAGAATGAAGTCATTTAATCAGAAATTCAAGTAAGTTCAATTTATAGGAAATTCGGTCACCTGAAGATAATGAAATATCTGATGAGCACTTCAGAGGGGGGATTCCGCTATCTGAAAACCATTCCAGTGGCCATGTAAATTGAGCATCATCATGGTTGCCGAAGACAATAGCCCAAGGAATGCACCTATTTTTAGCTGATGAGAGCGCCTGATCCCAATATAGACTTGCATTTGCTATTGGAATATTATTAGCAGTGATGACATCTCCTAGATATATTACAAAGTCTGCACCCACAGCTGTAGATTATTAATGTAAGACCATAAAAAGATCGCGACAAGTGCTGGAATTCGAGTAACATATATATGCACTGGCTCATGATGAGTTCAGGATCTTGTTGCAATCATGCTTATACTAACACAGTTAAATGGTATTGATTGAGAATAGCAGAAAGGACACAAGACACAAACAAACTCAGGTACGATTCCTGAGGCTAACTGATGAAGAGCAAAATATCATAACATAGTCAGTTTTTCAACTTTGAGATTGAATAAAGGTTTACTTGTTTTTTGGTGAAAGAAAAAGAACCTAAAGCAAGTTTACTTATACCCTGAATTCAACCGGATTGTCTCCAAAGTCATCCTGTGAAGGTGTGATCCACAGCACAATAACTCGAATTGAAGTGAAACCGAAATGAAAGGCTCATTAGTGATTACTACCCCAATCAATAAAATTTTTACCTAAGTTGGTCCAAATGAACCATTTGCCGCACATTCCTAGTCTAACAAGTTTAGGAAGTATACCCCCTTTTTTAAATCAAACATTCAAAATATAGGGCCTTTATTTACTAGGCGCATATAGCTAGCCCGGCCTACAAGCTAAGCCCACCAACATATTGTCCCCCGGCTCTTAACTACCCCTGGGTTCACACATTATAGTTATGTTGATAGTGCAATTTGAACTAATAATGTAACAATTTAGTTTGGACAATAATATTTCCATAGTAAAAAATAGACTCTTAAGAGTTGTACAGAATCACCGACTCTACAGCCTCTATTGCTTTATCGCGCCACATGAGGGGCAACAATAGGGTGTATAAAAAGTATTGAACAACTGCCTTTACTTAAAAATTACAATCACATAAACCTCCGTTTATTAAAAAAAGGTCATCACTAATTTATGTATGATACTTTGTACCCTTCTATATCATCAAAATTTATTATTACATGATCAAATCAAAATATATTGACGTTAAAAACACAGTACATATGACAATTATTCACTAGACAAAGTGATCGGGTTACACGGGACAACATTGTATACGACTAGGTTGTCCATCTTAGTACCATACATAAAATTTCTCACTATATGTAACATGTACACCACAATTTTTTTGTTTTTACGCGGTAAGATACGGGATGCCCCTCCTATCACAAGAAGGGTGGGGATGAGGATCGAACCCAGGTCACTCCTGGGACCTGGCCACCTGGAAGAGATGGAGGGACAAACCGTCCATCCACTCTATGATCCTCGTGTACACCACGGGTTAAATAGGAAGAAATGTGAGATGATAGTAAAATTACACACGAAGATAGGAAGATTATTGTAGCTTAATATACCACAAAATTTAAGGAATGATCATACCACAAAATTTAAGGAATGATCATATCATCACCTGGTTTATCTTGATCTAGGATAGAAGACATAACTTTGGTAGAGTGAACATCTTGAAGAGGGCCCCACTTAGTCCACGCGTCTTCACCAAAATGCAAGTCAGCAAAGAGTGCAATCTTGAAGGGTAGGCCTTTCTGCACCTGAAGATTTTTTGCCGTCCTTGGCTTAGCCACTACCACTGAACCAAATCTAATTAATGGCAAAAGGAGGACGATTTTGAGGAGAGAGAATTTTTTGTTTTGTTTCCCATTTTGCCCCTCCATTCTTAGGCTTTTGAGTAGTTATCTTACTACCATAACAATTCATGGTTGTTAACTTGCATTGTTATGTTATTATAACTTGTTAATGGGTAGCTTGGTTGTTGGTTAACTTTGGAAGTTTGCTATTTTTGCTTCCAAGTGTTTATAAGACTTAAATGTAACCCAATTTGTTGGGCCCGGGGCCGGGTCATCTATGTACTACCTTGTCAAGTCAGCATGCACAGTACATTAATATGATATTATTTGTTTTAGGCTTAATCTACACGGATCTATTTTTGGCATCTTTTCAAAAATTCTTATACTACTTGGAGTGTCACTCACTTATAAAGAAATCTTTTCTTCCTTAATTCTTCCATGTGGAACTTAGGATGAACAACCCCAAGACAATTGGCCATAACAACCTTGCAAAAACTGTGGTTTTGGCTCATGATAAAAGATTTAGTCCAACACATTGCATGACTTTTAAAATTCAATCTTACCCTATCTGTATTACTTTAAATTTATCTTAAAAAAATCTCTTATTTGGTAGCAAAATAGCTAAGTTTCCCGTATGTTGTATGCCAAAACCATAAACAATACTCGTGCACATGATCTTGTATGCATGATCCTTCATTCATCGAGAAAATCCAAGTTATCACCTTGATAAACTTGGAATTTAAATCAATTAACAATCTTGTAAATAGATTAACAAGTTTTAAGTAAGTGTGGGACTCACATATGTTGATTTTATTACAAAAATGTCATTCTGATTGGAATTTACAATACTTATCTATGAAGGTGTGATAAACTAACACTTGCTCTCATTCACTTTTACATGTTCAAGAAGGATAAAATAGTAAATGCATATCAGGGTATGGGAGGGACTAATGGGATATTCTTTGGCATATGTTTTGTGAAGTTTGATTGACAAAGAGAGCCTAACAAATAAAGCTGGTGCTTGGTTGCTTAATACAACTACTGTATTTGATTTGCATTGATAAAAAGCAGCATGAACCAACATAAAACTTGTGATTTTCAAAAGGAGAAATTTCAAGAACAAATGTTGATCTACATATCTTAAGCAAACGGTACGGTTCATTAGAAAAAGAAAATCGCGATCAATCTCCAAGAACAAGAGATTATTATTAAGATTGAGAACGCTTAACACAACAAGCTCATTCTATAACTCTTCCATATATCCCCCATGTTATACACATAAACATGCCATCCAGCTACAAAATAACCTCCTACAGTACAAAATAGCACAAGTATATACTAACCTTAGTATTACCATATCGATCTACCGCATAACCGCATTATGAATTTATGATACTAGATTAACAAAAGAATTTGATTATGTATCAACAAAATACTACTGCTAATATGCTTTAAGCTCCTGCAAAATTTGCTCACAATCATACTATTAATCTACCATTGCCTTGAAACAGGTTTCCACTTTATCAGAGGGCGTTCAATATTAGAAAAATTGCCTCTTCTGTTGCTTCCGAAATCACCGAAGAATGACTGGTCATTACCATTATGTTGATACTGGGAGATGTTGAACCCATGCTGACCCCCATAATCTGACTTCTTGTAGCTACGATGATCCCACCATTTATTGGTCCCGTAGCCTTCCCAATTATATTCTTTGTAGTGAACCATATCATTAGCAACGTAAACAAAATTATTATCCCAGCCAATATTCGAGCAACCTTTCTCTGCATTGTTCACATTGCTGTCACCCCAACGATCATAATCAGCCTCCCAGCCATAATTCGAGCAACCTTTCTCTGCGTTATTCACAACCTTGTCACCCCAATGGTCAAAGTAATTATCTTCCCAACCATTATTTGCGCAACCTTTCTCTGCATTGTTCATATTTCTGTCACCCCAATTATCAAAATCAGCCTCCCAGCCATTATTTGAGCAACCTTTCTCTGCGTTGTTCGCAATGTTGTCACCCCAATGGCCATAATTATCATCTTCCCAACCTTTATTTGAGCAACCTTTCTCTGCATTATTCACACTGTCATGCTTTTCAGGATTATTTAATTGTGGACCCTCCTCTTCAGCATCTCCCCATCCCATGGGGCTTAAAACATACTGCTCCGGTACCACAGGAATCCCCACAACTACACCACTGTTCTTTTGATCCGCCTCACAAGAGATATCTGAATCTCTCTTCTCCAAGTCTAATAAAAGACTGGGATCGACATTGGAATCCCAGTCAATGTTGTCAATGAAGACGTCAGGATCAGGTAGTTCTATGTCACAAGGATGGCCGAGCGCCTCTGCCCAAAACCGCTTCTTAGCATTCCAGAAAGCCTCCTCTACAGCAGAGTCCTTCCAATTTATTATCTTTTCATCTTGGAACATGTATTTTTGTGTATGCAATATCTTTTTCCATGATACTCTTCCTACCACTGCACAGAATTTCTTCTCCAGTGAAAGCGTAGACTGCTGCCGCCCACCTACAGAATAAAGTGGAGGTTGAGCACTATTCTATGGAGTAGATACAAAGAAAAAAGAAACCGTAGAGTAATACAATACATTTGATCAACTAGTTCCAAATTTCAACTAATGAAGCAAATAAATATTAATAGAAGCAGCTCAAGACGAGAAAGTCCTGCCCCATCATACATCTAAAATAGGACACCAATTACCTATAATGCGAATTCATTTGGAGCATCTATAATGCACAGGACATGCTTTAACTACCCTCTTTGTTAGCATACTGCAATCTAATCTATATAACTTGCTTAACGTCAAAGACTTAAAATTTAGGACCTCATTGAGTAAGTCATGTAAAAACACGGTCCATGATCATGATCATCACTCAAAGGGAATGGACTAGCGCGTTTCTATTGCGTTTAAGGTCATCCTCCTAAAGATACCTACATGATAACAGTCTTAATCGTCCTACAATGTGACAAATTTCATAGCATTCTCATGTAGCGTTGCTCAACTAGGCTAGGGTTTCCAAAATGATGATATATGATTACAAAGCCATTTATTCCATATCATAAGTTGCTCTCTCCATCAAACACAAAAGTTTATTGGTTTCATAGGTATTTTTAGTCTTTCACCCCTTTATAGAACATACAAAGGTTGTGTGTAAGGAAATATACAACATATACACCAAAAATAGTGTACAAAAAGATTCCAAACACTTTATTCCTTGCTTTTTCATATAAATAAATAAAAACAAGTAGAAAATAAATCAGGTAAAATCTTCCTCATATATCAATGTCAGACACTCAACACAACATTTCCTAATTTAACACAAATATATATAAATATAGACAAAATTAAGATAAAAGTAAGTCAATTAATTTGATGTTACTCTAATTGTAAAGTTCCTAAATTCAGTAGATATTTATTTGAATTGTTTGTTTTGGTCTATTAAGTATAGAGCGTAGCGTTGCAAGAGCAATAATGTAGACGGGATTTTATCACGATAATTACAAAATAAGCTAAACCTTAATTGATAATCTCAAAAAAAAAAAAAAAATGGAAAATCAGGAAACCTACATTCAATTTATATGGGCAAAGTTCAAAATTAAATCACAAACACCCAAAAAATTGTAATTTAATTATAAGAAACTTCAGATTATCTGACAATAAAAATAGAAAATATCAAAAATAGAAAGTCTGACAAATTACCGTTGCCAAAAGAAGGCTTCCTGTTGTTGTTCTGTGATCTCGACCTTGAACCGCCATTGCAATTCTCTGCCTTTGTTTTCTTCTTCCAGTAAGTACGATTATTATTATAATTATAGTTACTATTTTCCATCATCCCACCAGAAACCAACCAAAATAATTCTTCTGAAAATCAAAAACCCAGAAAAATTATGCAAGAATCAGACCTACCCAGAAAAATTCAGCAAAAATTACACCGACTTAATAGAATTATTGCAAGAAAAAAAAGGGTTTGAAGGAGAGACAGTGATCACCCACAGTATTAGCCCAAGGGTTGATTTTATTTTTATAATTTTTTGGGAGGTGAGAGAAAATAAATTCAACCCAAAGGTTTCGGGGAATATAAGGTTATTTTTGAGGAGGGAGAGGGTTATATTTATACTTCGTATATTAGTGGGGTTAAGGAAAGAGTAATCCTAAGTCGATCCGAACATCCGATTTGATACTCTATAATTATGATTTTAGTTGGTTGGCAATTAGAATTAGAACAAGACTAGTAATTGTAATTGTTACAATTTGAAGGTTCTTACATACACCGAACGGTAAGGCATTGCCCATTAAGGTAATTTTTTTTTATTTAGTGATTAAATAAATAATAAATCATCAAAAAATTAAATTAATATTTTCTAATTCAAATCCAAAGTATGGTGTAATAATAATATACTATTTATTTGCCTGGGTGATGTAGCGTCTCATCATAAATTTATAAGTTTGATCAAAATTAATTAAGAAGGGTTAATATTGGCCAATATTATTAATAAGTAAATGAATAAATAATAATAATATATACTCCCTCTGTCCCTTTTTGTTCTTCCCATTTGTAATTTTGACACTATTCATAAGGTGATAGAATCTTTTAAATTACTTTTAATATATAAGGCATAACATGGTCATGTAAGGTCTTATTTAATTCGCCTCCATGAATATATTATTAAAGTGGCAAACGTACATAGTTTAAATGGAAGAACATTTGGAGACGAAGGGAGTGTCATCTTTCATTAATATATAGGAAAATTTGCCAAAAAAAAAAAAAAAAATCGTTTAAATGCATCATTTTGCAAAAAAACCACTTTAACAGCTTTATCAAAAGAAAACTCAAAGTTAAATTTTTTTTGTGAATACAACCTCGTGCCTCTAATTCAATCAATTAAGCTTTATTTTCTTCTAGTTACCCTCTCACTCTCCCTTAGCCATTTAATAACTAAATTAATTTATAAACAAAAATAGAAACAAAGACCACCACCCCCACCACCAGCCAACCACCCTCTCCTATAGCAACACCCCACTCCCCTTAACCAAGCCGCCGCTTTGAACCCCCCTACCACCGGCGAGGGGTATCTACTGCCGGTCGACCTCCCTCCTTTCCTCCCTTACCCCCGCTACAACCCTCCCCTTCCCAAAACCTTAACCTTGACCATTCACCTAACGCCGACGATTTCTTCTTCGGTTAGAGAATCAACCGGAAACTTAATTAAGACAGCGATGAGAGCATCAACATTGAGTGGCGGATGATCCTTAGAGAGGTCGGTGATGACGACAAGAAAGAGGGAGAGAGAGCGAGTCGAGAAGAGAAGAGGAAGAGCGAGAAGAAGAGTGAGGCACCTGACCGAAAAGACCTATTACATGCTCGATGTTAAGATTTAGGGAGGGGGAAGGTTAAATCGGGGGTAAGGGGAAAGGTATGAGGGTCGACTGGCGGTGGAGGTGGGTCGTCGGGGGTTCAAGGCGGCAGCTCGGTTGGGGGAGGGGGGCCAGCCATAGGGGGGGAAGGGGGGACTGACTGGCTGGTGGTATTTGTTTTTTTATTTATAAATTATGTTAATTAGTAAATGGTTAAGTGAGATTTAGAGGATAACTAGAAGACATTAGAACTTAATTAAGTGAATTAAAGGCAATAGGTTGTCTTTAGCAAATTTTTTTTACAATCAAATCTTCTTTTGCTAGAATGTTAAAAATCGGATTTTCTTTAGCCAAAAAGCTTTTAAAGGTTTTTTTTTCGCAAAATAGAGTATTTTAAAGGTTTTTTTTTTTAATTTTCCACATATATATAAGATATTATCAAATTTAAGTAGGGAGGTTATACATTTGAAGAGTTTTTCAAAGAGACTAAACGTTACTACAATTCAATGTGGTGAGAGAAAAATATGACACATAGGATGACATATGGTGCACATGTGACACCAAATCATATGAAGGATGGTGACACATGACGTTAGCATGTTGTCCCTATGAATTTTAATAATATTATAGATTTGTGAAGAAATCAATTTCCATATATAATGCTATAATGAAAACTAATTCTTTATATGCAACCGTCTCAAAACTAACTCCTCATATATATATATATCGTTCACGTATGATTGATTAAAAACATAATTAAATTTTTTTTTATTTTTGATCTAAATCGCTACGCCTACTGGTGATAAAGGTTTTAGTAAGGAAAATTTAATAATTACCACCTATTATAGTTGTTGTTTTAGTAATAACCATCAACAATTTTTTTATGTTATTTTACCACCAACAATTCTTCAAAACATCAAATTTTACCACCTCTTTGCTCAACCCCTCAATTGTGACGTCACCCTTTTCAAATTCCCTCATTTCTCTCGATTCTCACTCTTTTGTTCAACTATCTCTCTTATATTACCCTCATTACTAAGTTCAACCATCAAATTTACTTCCTAAACTGGTAGATTCTTCATTGCTCTCTCTTACTCTCCTTTTTCCTTCTCAAATTTGAGCCCTCATTAATGTTGTCTAACCAAATTTTAACCCTTAATTTTGTTCCTAATTAACAGTAATTCACAAAATAAGAATCAATTTTGCAACAAACTGTTATCACAATCAAATCCTTAAATTGATTTCATAAACCCTAATTTAAATACAAAAACCCCCCCAAATTGATTCTATAACCCTATTTACACATACCTCTCCTTGGTTACATTTCTATTGTTTGGATGGAAGAACAATGACGGATGAAAACCCTAATTTGGCTAACGCCTAGCAAACTAACTGAAAATTCCCCAAAATTAGATAGATATTAAAGAAGAGAGAAGAATAGAGGAGTAACAATTGTCAGTGGGGCCCACCATGATGTCACAATAGAAGGGATGAGTAAAGAGGGGGTAAAATTTGATAATTTGAAAAATAGTGTTAATTAAAAAAAAAAATGTTGGTAAGGTTATAATTAAAACGACAACAATTAATACTAGGTGTAAATTATCAAATTTTCCTTTTAGTTAAAATAAAACCATTAACACAACTAGGGGTAACAGTTTGGTTTATGATGTGGTTTGTTGCCCAAACCGAAACCAAATCATATTTATTCGATTTGGGATTTTTCAAACCGCACCGCACCATATTACTATTCGGCTCAAACCAAATCACATCGTTTTTAATTCGTTTTTTTTTTTTTTAAAAAAAAAAAAAAAAAAAAAAACCAAACCAAATCGCAATTTGTGGGATTTGATTTGTAAATTTTTTGGGCTTGATTTGGTTTATTTTCGGTCAATTAACAAAATTTACAACAAAATTTGATTTTTAATTAGTTTATTACCAAAATAATTAAGATCTGAGAGATTAAGACTGAAGATTGCATACCTTGAGTCCTTGAGATTTGAGAGAGGATCGGAGTAGATCGTGAGTTGAGAGAAGAGATCGTAATGTTGTGAGAGTGGTCGCCTGGTCGGTGGCGACTCTCGCAAGAGGGAGGCAATGAGAGTGAGAGAGGCACGAGTGAGTGGAGTGACTGGAGATTAAGGAAGAATAGAATAAGGGTTTTTTTAGGCCTTATATATGTAGGGCAGAAAATTAGAATTGGGCTATAATTTGGTTGGGCCAAAATTTCAGTTTGGTTTTTTAATTTTTCAAAATCCCAAAATCAAAACCAAACTGCAAGTCGATTATTTTTATTTTCCAAATCGAACAGAACCATATTTTTAAAAAATCGAACCAAAACATATTTATATAAAAAAAAAAAGCCGAACTGCATTACTAATTCGATTTGGTTTGCTGTTCGATTCAGTTTTATACCATATTTGTTTCACCTCTAAACACAACACCAACCAAGGTTTTAGTTATTGTAACTCTTTTGATGTTGGTTTGATTAATAAAACCTCTAAACCATTAGGGGTTTAGCAGTTTCATTTTAATTAAAACATCTAACACTTGTAGTAATTTAGCAATGGAACACTTGATTTTATATGTTAATTGAAAACTGTTAATAACATTAGTACTTCCTCCGTATTTTAATAAGGCCTTGTTTGGTTGACAGTATAAAATGGGGAATGAAAATTTATAGGAATTGATGTGTGAGTCGTTGTTTGGTTGACACATAAAAGTAAAAATTGAAAAAATAGAAATTCATGGGAATTTCAACTTCCTACATAACATGGGAAGTAAATTCGTAGCCTTCCTGGTTAATTAAAATTCATGGGGATTTGTAATTCTCACATTGTCAACCATACAAATTATGAGAATTTCATTAGGGGAGTAATTTTCTATGAAATACAACTTTTTATGGGAATTTATTTCCCATGTCAACCAAACGACCTCTAAGTGTTACACTTACCAAATGTGGCCGTGTTTTAATAAGTGTTACACTTTTTTTTTTTTTGGCCGCCAAAAAACTGCATTTTAATATTTTTACTTTTCTTCTTTTATGGACCCCACCCAAATCCACTACTACTTTTTATTTTATTTATTTATTTTTATTATTATTTCTTTTCTCTCCCATTAATTACTTTTCAATAAACCATTAACCCCAATATATTTCTTATACAATTTTAATACTTCAACCACCCCACTTACCTCTTACGAGTATTTTATTTAAGTCACTTAAATTGCCCAAAATTATATGGCGGTCATAGTGTTACACTTATTAAACACACGGAGGGATTAGTATTAGTAAAACCGCTAATACCACTAGCGGTAACAATAATAGCAATTCATTATATTAAACTGCTAACGTCATTAGCAGTTTTAAGCTCTGGAAAAAATCTCTTCCCAACTGAATTTTTGTGGACGGATTGTGAGGAATTAGTATAACAATTACGCATATAATAAGGAATAATTTCATTGGCGTCAATGTATAAACTCAATCATTAGTATCTTTAATTATTGATAAAAAAATTATAAAGAATCGATATTTTGAAAGAATTATACTTCTTTCGTTCCTGAAAGCTCTTTACTGTTACTATTTGCACAAACTCAAATGTGATTTTAAACTATTAATATCTTTTATTTCATATTATAACTATAAATTAAAATACATAGAAATAAGATCAAATTCGTAGTAAACATTTCTATTTTTGAACACATATTCCAGAACGTTAAAATCTTGTAGATGCAAAGATTATGTATCGAAATAAATCTAACAAAACCCGAAATGAATATATTTTATCTGAATATCATGTATAGATCACAAAATACAAATAAATAAGATATGTTTAAGTCAAAATATGTCAACTTTTAAAAAATAAAACAAAATAAGCTTATTAATTGATTTGATGATGAAGACTCTTTAGAACTTTAGGAAACGAGGAATAAGGAAAAAGTTGAAAGATACAGTATTGTGTTTATGGGGCTGCTAATCCAAAGAGGAGAAAGAAAGGCGTGCTTATTAGCTGTAATAGCTTATTGGGGTTTCCATGTGTTTACTGTTTAGTATTACAAGAGTGGGGTCCATTTAGCGTTACGTGTTTACTAAATACCACGTATTTGGAATGAAAGAAAAGAGCAAGTAGCCCTATAGAGCCTATTGGCCTTAATCCATATTTGGCAATTCAGTGGTGGGTTATTGGAATACCAAAAGATAGAAATATGAGGTAGTTCTTAGAATAAGTCAAAAGATGTTTGGTCACGCTAAGTATCTATGATATACTCGGATATATACGAAAAGCATGTTATATATGTACTCGTATTTATTATATGCTCTGATACGAGTATATAAAAAGCATGTTATATACTTTCTCTGTAAAATGTTAATTGTAATAAAGGGGTATTACTAGTGAGATATAAAATATTCCTTTATTGCAATTAACATTTAATGGAGGAAGTATGTATGAATTCTATATATTACGGAGTACAACTCTATATACGACGTAATACTCTATATATCAGTAAGAATTACTTGATTTTTGGTAGAGTTTGTGTAGGAATTTTTATTTGAAGGGTGATAAAATAATTAAGTGTAACTCATATCCATAATAATTAAGTGTTGCCTGATTTAATGGTTAACTAAATATTTATGTATAATATTGCATAGACATGTCTATATATGGCATCAATTTGGTAAGCACAAGTCACGACATGATCCAACACGAGGTTGGCAATTTGGCATAGCTTCGCATGACCGACGTGAGGTATGAAGGTGTAAGTTGTGCCTGGACTAAGTTTATAAGAAAATGGAAAACGTGTTCCCTCGTGGACCCTAGCTAGAAAAAAATAACATCGTATATTTATATTATATAAGTTTAGTTTTACATAATCCGCACAATTAGTGGAGGTTTTCCAATTTTTTTTTATTGATTTATAAAGTCTTAAAAGGATGCTAGACAAAAATTAATATAAGTTCAGTAAATTATCAAATAAAGCGACTACACCTAATTGAAAATCAAAACTAAATTGCGAATGAATTTTGAGTTTATGACATTTAATTATGGTATCATAGATCTTCCTCCTATTACTTGAGGACGCCCTACTTGATCTATTAGATTATCGTAGTTCATTGATATAGTGGTGTTATTGAAATATTGAGCAACAATAGGATCGTGTTAGCTCATCATTTATCATCATAATAATTTACTGAATCAGATTCAACAAATGGTTGACGTGAACTCTATCTTCTTTATCTCGCGTTAACTCCTTTGAAGGAGCTCGAGCTTTCCTCCACCTTCTTTCTCCATTCTTACCCACCTTCAGCGGCAACAACACTAATACTGTCCACCACCGTCGAATTAAACGAAAAATCCTAAGAAAAAACAAAAGAAATTAAAGACATGGTCAGCTTAAAAGGGTAAGGGTAAAGTGCTCCTTCATTGAAGTTGTCATTGAGCTTGAATTTCTCCATCAAACGCTTTGAATTTCTACTGAAACTAGACCTGTTAAATGAGTCCCGACCCAGCTCGTTTATAAAAGGGTTTTGCCCATCCAACATTTAAATGGAGCGGACTTTAAGGGGTTATCAAATAATGGGCTTTTAAAGGGTTAAACCTAAGTTAAAAAGGGCTGAAATAGGGTAACTCTTATGAGTTTTTTTTTTTTTTTTCTTTCTTTTTTTTACTAATTCCTCTACCTCTGATTCACTTATTATTTTATTTTTTAGGATGCTCACCTGGTTTACTGGAGATTAGCTCCGACTACATCTAGATTCGACCCGGGTTGTACGTCTGACTTGTGGTAGGTGAGTGTGTCAAGAAGAGTTTCTGTACACAGTGAGGTTCGAACCCGAAATCTCCTTCAAGGAACATCAAGTTGCTTACTAATTGAGCCAACTCTTATTTATTATCTCGTTGAAATTATAAACGTTGAAAAAAAAAATTCCTAAATTTCTCCCAAATTATAAACCCTAAAAAATTATTCTCGACAACTTCAACCTTAACCGCCATTGTTACTCAAGCTTTTGCGCTATTCTTCGTCATTCACTTCACTGCTTTCTTGCAACTCCATATCTACTACTACTTCAATTTCATAATACTTCGCTTGATTCAACCATTCTTTGGTAGAATTTCAGTTGTTCGTTCTTAATTGAATTTACGGCTTTCTTCTTCTTCCGGTATACTTTCTGCAGAACTTTGAACTTCAATAATTATCTTTGTTCTTCAGATTTCTAGTGATATTCGATTGTTAATGCCGTTTTTCTGCTATTTTGATTTATTTATGCTTAATTCTTGATATTTCGAACTCTGTTTTTCGTAAGTTTGTTCTGTATATATTTGAATGTTATTGGTGTTAAATGTTGTTATTTATTTATGTGTAATGCTACAATAAATTATTATTTGTATTGGTGTTAACTGTTGTTATGCATTGATTATTGAATGTGTACGAATGTAATAATGATCCGCTTTCACGCATTCGAGGTTCGGGTTTTCCTTTTCCCTTTCTGGATTTTATGGTTTTATTGTGAAACAGAATGTTGAATATGGATTAATAATTAGGCCTTGCCTGGATTGCATGTAATAGGGGAGGAAAAATTTCCGATGTTTTGAGTTGCCTGGATTGAGGACACAATTATAATGGGGTAATATATTCCCTCAAATTAGGGGAAATTGTTTCCCAGACCCCCCTAGTGTAACTTTTCCCCCTGAACAATTCTCTTCTTCAATGATGGCAGATTTGCTAATATAGAAGCTAATTTTGTTTATTACCCTTGAAATAATTCCAAACTTGAAGAAAATGAATAATTACCCCATTAATTGATCCTCTAGCAAAATATACCCCATTATACTTTCCCCCTTAATTATTTAAGGGAATCCAGGCAAGACCTTAACATGAAATTGTATGGCACTAATATAGTTGACATATTTGTTAGCTTGCTGGCCTTCATGCCCACTGGATTAGTTTAAGTTCGCTGTATTCTGGATATTTAAAACTAATGACATGTTTCCTATATTCTGTTTTTATACTTCAGTAAAATTGTTTATTTGGCCCTTTATATTTCAGCTTTTGTTGCTTCACTATCTTCTTCTGCTGGGCTAAATGGTACTTTATTACCTATATAGGCATAATGGAGGTAGATGAAGAGAATCCTTCTTCTGCTTCAGTTGCTGAACCAACTCCTCCAGGAACTGATGCTGAGATGCTGGCTACTTCTGAACCAGCTACTGATATCATGGGTCCTGCTACTCTTACATCCCCTATGATTACACCGGCTGCTGTCCCTCCATCAGCTCCTCCCGCAGTTGCCCCTTTGTCAGCTCCACCTCCGGTGCTGGTCCCATCAATCGCTCCTCTTCCTATTGTTCCTCCTGCGACATCTAGACCATTAGCTCCTCTCCCTGTCCGCCCTTTCCTTACTCAAAATGGTGAGGCAATGGCAAGTGAATCGGAATCTGAGGATGATGACCAGGGTTCGGAAATGGATGCGCAAGGTTCCTCAGTTGGGTATGAAATTACAGAGGAGAGTCGGGTTGTTAGGGAACGTCAAGAGAAAGCGATGAAGGAATTCATGATGAAAAGACGCGCTGCTGCTTTAGCTGTCCCCACAAATGACGTGGCTGTGCGGACTAGGCTTCGGCGACTTGGTGAACCCATTACTCTCTTTGGGGAGAGAGAGATGGAAAGAAGGGACCGGCTCCGGATGCTTATGGCTAAGCTTGATGCTGAGGGGCAATTGGAAAAGCTTATGAAAGCCCATGAAGAAGAGGAAGAAGCAGCTTCAGCTAAGGATGAGGTCGATGAAGAAATGTTTCAGTATCCATTTTATACAGAAGGGACCCAAGAATTGTTGGAGGCTCGGAAGTTTATAGCTAAGTTCTCTATTGTCCGAGCATCTCAGCGTCTGCAGCGTGCAAGAAGGAAAAGAAATGATCCAGATGAAGATGAAGATGCTGAAGTTGATTGGGCTCTTAGACAGGCAGAGACTTTTGTTCTTGATTCTAGTGAGATTGGTGATGACCGCCCACTTGGTGGTTGTTCGTTTTCAAAAGATGGGAATTTGCTTGCTACCTGGTATGTTCTCTAGTTCTCTAATCTATCTTTGCCTGGTTGGAGATTATTTTTCCTTTATCATAATAAAAGTGATTGATACTTGAAGATGTGGTGGTTGATTATCATCCTCTTTTGTTTGTCAAACTAGCCAATTGGACTTCATATTAAGGGTGTGGTTCTGTTGTGTGGTATGTGATTAAGATAATTTACCCAAGAAATCAAGATGTTGAATATTTACATCTATCCAGGAAAATTTATTTTTAAAATTCTTCCTCTCGCCCTTAAATTGTATTGAATTTTTTATATTCTTATGTCATTCAGAAGTCTGAACCTTCAGTATGCTTCTTTCTTTGTATTTGCTTTTAATTTTTCAATATGTTTCGGGAGTAGGAGGCTTTTCTTTCCATTTGCTGAAAATGATGAAAGAAATAGTTATGAACTATAACAAGCTCTATGATGTATTCATTCCTTCGCTCTCTGTTAGAATTAAATTCAGGACAGTATGGTCAGATTTTGATCTGTATGCTTTAAAATAACTTCTTAATTTGCTGTTATGTTCTAGAAAGGAAAGGTACTGAAAAATTGACTTTTTTATACAAAGAATTGGGATTTGTTATGTTTGAATATGCAAAAGCTGGTGAAAGAAAATCCATGGGGAAACTGAATTTTTGTGAACTGGAAGCTCAACATCTTTTTGAAGAGAAGTATCCTAAGTAATTGCTATTATCTGCTTGTCATTAATGAATTAACCAGTGTAAGAATTAAAATTATAGAATGCCAGAGAAATGACTGCTATCCATGTGCTCCCTAGATGATGTACTGCGATATTAGTTGTGTAATAGAGTTTTGGAGGAAGAAACAGAAAAGGAGAGTTTTTCCTGTCATGTGTTTTTAACTAGTGTGAGGATTTTATTTATTTATTGTTATTTTTTTTTTTAATAATGCTGTGATTGTTGATGGTATGGAAATCACGTAAAATTAGACAAGTCACTTTGTCCAACTTCATATATAATTTATGAGGAAAGTTGGCTTTGTAGATTGATGGATATGAGCTGGCTAATCTATTATCTCTTTCAAGATATGAAGAACATGATGCTTAGATTTGCATTCAAATAGCCTATAATATTTTCCCTAAATTATGAGAGTAATGAGCCTCATGATGAAGGAGAATACTGATTGTCATTTTATTGCTCGTTTTGTTCCTTCAGTTCTTCTAGTGGAGTTGCTAAGATATGGAGTATGCCTGAAGTGAAGAGGGTCTCTGCCTTGAAGGGACACACTGTGCATGCTACTGATGTCGCATTTTCTCCTGTAAGTGACATTGTAGCAACTGCCTCTGCTGATCGTACTGCAAAGTTGTGGAATACAGATGGTACGTTAGTGAGAACATTTGAAGGTCATTTAGATCGCTTAGCTCGTATTGCCTTCCATCCATCTGGGAAGTACTTGGGCACCTCAAGTTTTGACAAAACTTGGCGTCTATGGGATATTGAAAGTGGTGCAGAGTTGCTTCTTCAAGAAGGCCATAGCAGGAGTGTTTATGGCATAGCTTTTCATCTAGATGGATCCTTGGTAGCATCATGTGGACTGGATTCTCTCACACGTGTCTGGGATCTTCGAACAGGAAGAAGTGTTCTTGCTTTGGAAGGGCACATCAAACCTGTAAATTTCTTCTCTTGTTATGCTCATGTACAATTTATGGTTTACACACTGATTGTTTACTCACTTGGTATCTCTTCTCTTAGGTCTATGGGGCTGATTTTTCTCCTAATGGCTATCATTTGGCCACCGGTTCCGAGGATAATACATGCCGGATTTGGGATTTGAGAAAGAAAAAGTCCTTGTACATAATTCCCGCCCATTCTAAGCTTATTTCAGAGGTCAAATTTGAGCCCCAAGAGGGATATTATTTGGTCACTGCTTCATACGATACAACTGTCAAGGTATGAGTCTTGGCACTAAATTACTTTTGACTGATTAAAACAATTAGTGTGTTTTGTTCCAGAGTTGTTAGTAATATTTTCTCATTTGGTTCTATTTCATCAGGTATGGTCATCTCGAGACTTCAAGCTTATCAAGACATTGGCAGGACATGAATCAAGAGTCACATCCTTAGATATTACAGGAGGTAAGATCTTTTCTTTTGACAAACTATTAGTAAAAAAAAGTGGTGCATAAAATTTGGGAAGTTGTAGGCAGTATCAGCATCCCTTGATAGTCTCTTCATGGGCTGTCACTCTGTTCTGAGTGGAATTATCTATGGAAGTTACCATTCAAAATCTGAATTTATTTGTCCCTGAAATCTTACTGGGTTATGATGGATGATTTTAGGATTAATTAGCAGTTTTTCGTGTATGCATGTCAACTAAATCATAGCTAGTATATACAAGGGTCTGAGTGTGGTTATACTAGTAGAGATCTTTAGGCCTCAAAATTAGGATTGGTAAGTTGAATGCTTAAGGATGATCAGCTGAATTCTGAACAAAATGGAAGACTTTCTTTAGGATATTCATATATTCAGTTGCTCTTCTAATGTTGCTAAAAAATTAGTATATGTAAGCTATGCTATTTTGTTCAGTTTTACATGTATGTTGTCTTAGCTTTGCATCAATTTCAACGACCAACTGAATTGTACAAAGTACACGGGCTATATCACATTTAACTAATTAAGAAGTGCAATCCATAGCGCAGTTAATTTTGCTTATGTATGTACAAAAAGTATAATTTAAAAGTAACTTATTAAGTATTTTGAAGTACGTGTACATATTCTTCCCCACCTTCACCCCCACCCCCATCCCATCCAAAGGATACATCTTTTCAGGCTCCTTATATCTTCGTTTCTTAATGTGGTGATACAGATGGACAGTGCATTGCTACGGTTGGACATGATCGAACAATCAAGCTCTGGTCAAGCAGTGTCCCCTCTGAAGAAAAGTCGATGGACCTAGGCTAAGGGTCAGTTTTAGGGGTGCTTTTGATGCGAGTCGAGTTCGAGTATGACCGAGTCGATCTCGAGTAGCTTGCAGCTTGATTCGTGGTAGTAGAACTCTCTATTTAGTGTAACATTTCTTCATTTTCTTTAATTTAGTCATTTGAGAAACACACATGATGATACGAGTTTATAAAATTATGTTTATTTATTAATTATTAATGTAACATAAAGTTTTTTTTTTCAAAATGTTTTAATTATTAGTAAATATAATATTATATAAAGGAATTCGAGTTTTTTACGAGCTTTCGAGTCGAGTAATGAGCTACTTGACTTGACTCATTAACATTTCCTTGTGATTAATTAATTATTAATTTTGCTATAGAATGTGTTCTCAATCTCCTTGTGATTATGATTTAGCCCGAAAAGGACCGGGAATCATTTCCTAACTGTCTTTGAAAATTGAACACAATTAAAAATCAGAGAAGCAATGGCAGCGGAGGATGTACAGCCGATGTTAATACTTAGTGTCTTGGTTAGCAAGCTGTTATCATGAAGCAGTCTGTAACTTTTAGCAAAGTGATGTTTCTTTTTTCTTTGATTATCTTTGACAGTTGGCCAGCATAGTCGGAATTATTTTTGGAATGAGAATACACAAATGTTGAGATGTATGAGTTGTGTGCAGGTGAAGGAACTTTTGAAGGATCGTTTAAATGGAAAAGCAGGAGGTTCTATTGAGTGCATTAGTTGAACTAAACTCGCGTAACTTTGAGGAGTTAGTGCTGAAAAGTAAAGATCTTTGGGTTATAGAGTTCTTTGCACCTTGGTATGTTTCTGTAAAGTTTTTTTTTGTTTTTGTTTGAATTGTTAGTTTGTATCCTGATCCTCAAGATTTTTATACTATAATGCATCAATTGTCATTGGGGTAAAATCATCATAGTGAACTGCTTTAAATCTATTATATTATTTTGTCTTAATAAATACTTCCTCTGTTTTTAATTAAATGCTTCACTTTTTATTTTTGGCCGTTTTTAAATACTTGCTTTATTTCTTTATTTAGAAAACTTTTACAATATATAATTTATTTTTCTCACCTAGTGGGCTCAACATATATCATATTTTATTAATTTCATATTCTTTCCAATTCTCTCAACTACTTTTGCTTTTTACAATTTTTTATTCTTTCACATACCCCACTACCTCCATATTTTATTACTTTCTCCAATTTCTCCTAAAACTCTGTGCATGGAGAAATGAAGTAAGTATTTAAAAACAGAGGGAGTGCAACTTTAGTGTTGACATGTTCTCCCTATTAGATTGGTTGTTATAGGATCCACGAGGAGCAGATTGAGAAATGGCAGGAGGAAATGAAGGAGGAGGAGCTGAGGGTGGTCGATGCAACGAACGACGAAATGATGATCGCTTGAATAATGTCAAATGCCTGCTTCATACTGTTCATATCACCGGTCAACTGCCTCCTGCAAAAATATTGAATTGATTTAGAGGGAATTGTTGAAATTTCATATGTTTCATCTTACTGTTTTTGGTATTCATTTTTTGCTTTTTTATTCATAAAATTATCTGTTGTTTTACAATTTATTTATTTATTTATTTTTGTTGTCAAAAACAGTTTGTTGAAATGTTAATAGATATTAATGAAAGATATACTCTTACTTTTTGGTGAAATTAGCTTAAATTGGTTAATCATCTATTAATTTGAACCTATGATCACATTTTTGGGCTGCATGGTGAGCCCCAAGTGTCTCGAATCCAAATCTTGATGGATGGTAAAATGTCAAGTATCAACCCCTGTGATTATAACATGGCCAAGTTGTTGAAGATTTCCCTCTTAGTTTCTTTCAAGATCATGATTAATAATTTGATGTTTTACCATTAAAAAAGATTTTTTTGAGTGAATAAATTAGCGATTGGTCAAAGGTTGAGCAATTTATTAGCTTTTGCATAGTTGTATTTGAAAGAAAAATGCGAGACACTTTAGAATTGAACATCATTACAGCATCATTATTAAAAGGTTACTCCTTGTATATGAGGTGAAGTTAGAGTAAATTATGTTCAGAAACTTTCGATTTATCTTGTGACATATAATAATCCATGCTCAATGACAACACGAGAGTGAACTGATTTGTTTCACCGTGTCTTTTTTAAATAATAGTGTTTCTTGAATTTAATAGTAAGGTAATATTTGATAAACTATGCAAAACCATAAAAGACGATGGAAAATGACCAAAATAATTATGAGTGAGTTTTAGCCACATTATTAGATTTATGTCTCATGTACACATGCATTATGACTACAATGACTCATGTTTGATCTTGTAAGGATTAATGAGCTTGTTCCTTCTTAATCTATATAAATTCATAAAATTTGAAAATTTAAGAGACTTTGAATTTTATCAATATACTACGAATAATATGTTTTGTTATATTTTAATCAATTGAGAATATAAATACTAGATGATATAAACAAGAATATACTCAAGATTGAATAATGCTATCACCCATATCACAATAAACTATTTTAAGAGTCTTTATTCAATTTTGCTGAGAAAATTCTAGGTTAAACATATAGTTGGTCGATAAAATAGTTCTTTTAATATAAAAAATACAAGAATAATTTAGTTATCCTTCTAAACTTTCCTCCCCCCACTTAACTGAATATAGAAAGGGGTTGAGAGAAAGAAAAAGGCGCCAAGGGAAAGAGTGAGATCGGGAGAGTGATAAAGAACAGGTTGGAAGAAAGAGAGGAGAGGGCATGCCAGAATAGGAGAGAGTTCTAGACAGAGAAAGAAAGAGAGGCCAAGAGAAAGAGAGTGAGAGAAAAAGGGATTGGAGGAAAGGAGTCCGGAGAAGAGAGAGCAAGTAAGAGGGGTTGGGAGAAAAAGTGAATGAGAGAAAGAGAGAGAGAGAGAGCAATAAAGAAAAAGTGCAGCCGGAAAAGAGAGAAAAATATATAGAGTGATAAAGAGAGATGAGTCGTTGAAAAAAGAAAGAAAGGGAGGTCAAAAGAAAGAGGGAGATAGAGATAAACCGAGCGATATATAGGGGCAAAGGGGGGGGGGGGGGAGGGGGGACGTGTGGGCGGGGGGAAGGGACTAAAGGGAGAGGGATAAAGTGCATCTTATAATTTTCAAATCCTTTTAGAGGATGGAACAAGGATAATAGGGATTGAGAATTTTCAAAGCTTTTTATAATTTTCAAAGTCTTTTAGAAGATAGAACCAAGACAAGTCGTCTAATTAGTAGCACATTTAACATAAAAGTGCAGTATTATGGTAGAAACGTGTTAGATTCAAGAGTAAGTACTTTTTTAAATGTTTGTACAACCATAGAGAGAGAAAGAAAGATATAAAGATAAAGGGGGAGAGAGAGAAGGAGATAAAGAAACCGGGAAATAGTAGGGTTGGAAGAGAGGGAAAGAGAGGGCATCCAGAAGACAGAGAGGACATTTCAAAAGAGAGAGGGGCAGGCTAGGAAAAGAGACAGAGGCCGGGAAGAAAAGAGTGAGAAAAATTGGGGGAGAGGAGCTGGAAGAAAAGAGAGAGAGGGATAAAGTGCAAACTATAATTTTCAAAGCCTTTTAGAGGATGGAACAAGGATAAGAAGTAATGAGCATTTTCAAAGCTTTTTATAATTTCAAAGCCTTTTAGAAGATGGAACAAGGACAAGCCATCTAATTAGTAGCACGTTTAACATAAAATTTCAACATTATGATAAAATCTTGTAGAGAGTGAGAGAAAAAGGGATTGGAGGAAAGGAGTCGGGAGAAGAGAGAGAGTAAGAGGGGCTAGAGAAAAAGTGAATGAGCTAGAGAGAAAGAGAGAGGGCGCCGGGGGGGGGGGGGAGGAGAAGTGAATGTGTGTGGGTGTGTGAGAGAGAGAGAGCGAGAGCAATAAAGAAAAAGTGCAGGCGAGAAAGATATATGGAGTGATAAAGAGAGAGATGGGTCGTTGGAAAAAGAAAGAAAGGGAGGTCAGAAGAAAGAGGGAGATAGAGATAAACCGAGAGATATAAAGGGGAAAAAGGGGAGGGGGGGATGTGGGCGGGGGGAAGGGACTAAGGGGAGAGGAATAAAGTGCAATCTATAATTTTCAAATCCTTTTAAAGGATGGAACAAGGATAATAGGGATTGAGAATTTTCAAAGCTTTTTATAACTTTCAAAGTCTTTTGGAAGATAAAACAAGGACAAGTAATCTAATTAGTAGCACATTTATTTAACATAAAAGTTCAACATTATGGTAGGAACATGTTAGATTCATGAGTAAGTACTTTTTTAAATGTTTGTACAACCATAGAGAAAGAAAGAGAGATATAAAGATAAGGGGGAGAGAGAGAAGGAGAAAAAGGAACCGGGAAATAGAAGGGTTGGAAAAGAGAGAGAGGCCGAGAAAAAGAGAGGGCAACCGAAAGACAAAGAGGGCAATTCAAAAGAGAACGGGTAGGTCAGGAAAAGAGAGAGAGGCCGGGAGAAAAAGCGCGAGAAAAATTGGGGGAGAGGATTTAGGAGAAAAGAGATACAGGGATAAAGTGCAACCTATAATTTTCAGAACCTTTTAGAGGATGGAACAAGGATAAAAAGGATTAAGAATTTTCAAAGCTTTTAATAATTTTCAAACCCTTTTAGTGGAACAAGGACAAGTCATCTAATTAGTAACACATTTAACATAAAAGTACAACATTATGGTATAATCATGTTGAATTCATAAGTACTTTATTTATTTATTTATCTATTTATTTTTATGTTTGTACAACCATAGGGAAATATATTAAGATAAAGAGGAATTGGAGAAAGAGAGAAAAGAACCTAAAAAGAGAAGGGTTGGAAGAGAGAGAGATAGATAGAGAGAGAGAGAGAGAGATAGAGATAGAGATAGAGAGGCCGAGAAAAAGAGAGTGCAGCCGAAAGATAGAAAGGGCAATTCAAAAGAGAGAAGGGGTGTGCCAGAAGAAGAGAAAGAGTTTGGGAGGAAAAGAGCGAGAAAAATTAGGGGGGGGGGAGGAGTCGGGAGAAAAGAGAGAGATAGAAAGAGGGGTTAAGAAGGAGAGAGGATGAGATAGAGATATGAAGAAAGAGAAATAGGTCCGGGAGAAATATAGGGGGTTGGAAAAGAAATAAATGAGCGATAAAGAGAGAGGGATTGAGAGAAAAGGAGAAAGAGTGTATGATATAGTGAGAGAAAATGAGAAGGTTCGAGAGAGAGAGAAAGAAGGGCCAGAAGAGAAAGAGAGAGGAGAAGGCCCGGTAGAACCCTTAACCTTACCAACCAAAAAAAGCATATGTTACGATTACAAATTAGTCTTGAACCTATCTAACTATAACCAAGATACTTAAATCAACTTTATTATTAAATGTGATAGAGAAATTATGATTAATTGAGGTAGCAATTGCAAAGAAAAAACTAACAATAACTACATTGATTAATAGCATACATAAACTTACGCTACATAATATCCAAAAAACTACTTTGCATGCATATTATTTCTTTTGAAAAAATTAAACCTTTACTATAAAAGTATTACTAACATTAAATTTTATTATCACAATAAAATTATCTTCACAAACAAACCAAATAATTTATTCCAATTGTATATAAATTAAGATCCTCTTGTTTTTTTCGTTTTTTTTAGAATTTCAATACTCGATTTAAAACTTCAAAATTCACATTGTACTTCCATTTAATTTTTTTTTAAAAAAAAAATGAAAATAACAATAACTACACTTATGCTCCATAATACCCACACCCGATATTTTACCATATTGGCTATCGCACGCGCGCAATGGCTCAACTAGTTAAGAAAGATAGAGGAGAGGAACAATAGTGGACCAAGTATAAATGAAATAGGTGATCCATAAATTTTAACACCCTGATCTACACAGCAACACTCATCTCTCAAATCTAAATCCTAATCTACAAATCTCTATACCAGTTTAAGTATTCGGAGAGATTGAAGATGCAACAACTTCATCGTCTTTGCTAAATTTCATGTACTCAATCTGGAAATGCTTCGGCCTTTGCATGTTGAATCAGAAAAAAATAATCTCAACCACAAAATTTCATTTTCCTTGCTCGTAATTGCAAATAACTTCACAAATTATAGCAATGTTCTCTAATTTAGAGGCTTTCCTACTATGACTTACACAAGCGGACCAACTATTTGTGTAATAATTTTTTTGATAATTATCTCATCGATTTTCTTTTTCTAGTTGAGATCTTATTTGTACCAGCCAGCAAGCAACCACCGCAGCAAGAAACAAAAACCGCAAGCAATTGCCTGTAGAAAAGAACAGATCATACACTGGCATTGGTGGACAAAAATGCACAATTTACTTGGAATAGCTTTATTAAGTAGTATGAATTTCCGGACAACGTCCAGATGCATTGCTAATCTTTTCAATTATGTGTGTATGCTGGGGAGAGGGGGTGGGGGGGTGAGGTTTTAGAGGAGCTAGGAGGCTCACCTGGAGAGCGAGGAGAAAAATGCAGAGTGATTGTTCAGACATGCTTCCACAAAATTTCAATGAAAAGTTCACCAGTGTCCCATCCCATGTCCCCGTTAGCAGTCCTGTTTGAGGGTCAAAACTGCCATTCAAAAATATATTGTCAGGTCATGTTGGAGACTATGAAGTATGAACTAGTGGTTGAGAAAATAAAATAAAATACCTTGGGAGACGATGCCGGGGACAAGGAATAATTTTGGCAAGCTGGTAAAGTCACAACACACATTAGAAATGCTCAAGAGTAGATGAGGGGAAGAGAGGAGAGGAAAATGCCGAAAATCTAACCTGAGGAAGTGACAAGATGAAATTCAAAACTTGAGGAATAAAGAAAATAATTAGTGTTTCACTGTAAAATAGAGGAAATCAGAAAAGGTCAGCATAAAGGAAATATTATTATTATTATTATTATTATTATTATTATTATTATTATTATTATTATTATTATTATTATTATTATTATTTTCTTTCCAAATCATCATAATACGACTCTTTTTTTAAGATGATATGACATTTATTTTGAAGATGTACGATGATAGATGGTGGTAACACATTTGCATATGCAAAGTTGCAAAAGAAATTTAATATGAATACGTATATAACTTTTCATGCACATCAAATAATAGATTGTGTTTTGATATGATAGATAAAGCAAACATAAGATGGCTTGCTGGAAGCTATGAAATGCTGAGCCTTAGTTGACACGTTTTGATTTTTGACAGTATTTCACAAACTCTACTTTGACTAGCTATTATGATTTAGACCCCTCTCCATGTGTATTTTCAAAATATCAACTTCTTATAATTATTACTTATTGAAAATTAGGGATATTATGGTTAAATCTAAGCATTGACAAACATGACAAAAGAAACGTGACAACTAATCTGAAACGGAGGAAGTATGAAATACGTGTTAGGCCAGTCAATATTACACAAAATCTTAATGCAAATAAATCAAGACACACTGGACAGTGGACACTGCTTTTTGTACTACCTAAAAGTGTGAGCTACTGCATGGATACATGCATGTCCAAACTTGAAAGCAACTTCTAAGATGTGTAGGTACTGTTTAGAGTATGAAATCTAAAAGTACCAACAGGCAACAATATTAAAAAAAATAGGAAACAAATGAGAGAACGCCACATTTTAACAAAAGCAAGAATACCTGTAGTGACCCAGAATGCCAACAACGGCCATTGTCATTCCTGCAAAGTATGTATATGTATCCCCGACAAACACTGAAGATGGATACCTAGAAGATATAAAAGCAGGATCTTAAAAAGATATTCAAGGAGTATAACTGAAACATTGCATCAGTCCTTCAGTCAACAAAAAATTTACCAATTGTAAGAAAGTAAGGCCAAAGAAGTAGCGAGCAAAGGTTGAACAAGATATATAGAGAATGCATGAGCCTGCTGATTCTCGGAATTGTCCGTGGCTGCCCCAATTTGCATAACATTATGGATCAGAATCTGTAAAAAAAATACTCAAATGATCAGACTGTAAAAAATCTTTGGATGCAGCGAATTCAAAAGTGCATAGGCTTACAGCAGAAGCAATGACAACAGTCTGCCCAACTTCAAGACCATTTATACCAGCATGGATATTGATAGAATTAGTGCAAAACACTGTCAGAAGGACCATGTACAGCTTATATATCCACCCTGCATATATAGGAAGGCCACAATGTAAATAAAAGAAGGATGTCACAATCCCCTACACTGACATAGCAAGAAACGCAGCATCGTATGATTCATCTGTTGCCAAGAGCACTTTCCTTCCATTTACTTTTTTAAAAAATGCTAAAGTTATTCTGCAGAAATATGATCAGCTGTAGTATACTGAAGGGAAAGTGATGAAACCACTCTTTGCACAAATGAAACTTATAAATTGAGGAACACAATGTTATATGTATAATCATACAGAAAATCATATCCTGACAAGAGACGGCCACGGGCCACCTCAAGTAAAATCTACGCATGCTGCAGACTCTGAGCATTACTTGGCAAAACAATCCCCCACTATAAAAGTTATTAAACACTAAGAAACGTTTTAAGTAGCAATCCATAATCAACCATATAATGAGCAATATTCCATGCAGTCAATATGAAACAGATTTCATGCTATCCCTTAGGTTACGCACCAAAGATTTGTCAAAAGTCCTACACGGTCACACAGCAGCATTGATGTGATCAATGAAACAATATACATAACAAAAAGGATTCATACAAGCATTTTACCTAGATCCAACACCTCCAGCCCAACATATGGAATGAGAGGCTTTGGGATAACAACGGTGGTATGGCCAGCATAAGCCATTAGTAGAGGAAGAGCAGCAATAAAAGGCAAGACCAGTTTCCTGCACATGAAAAATTATTCAATAAGAATTTCTCCCAAAACAAAATAGTTGAAGGGGCTTTTAGAAAATATGATACTTACACTCTCCATGGAACGTCAAGAACATCATCAACAAATCCAAGCAAAATCATGAAACAAATGGATGCCAAAGCTGCGTTATACTCAACTAGCCACTACAAAAATAATAATTTATGAGAACTATGATAATCTGCCTCAAAAAAAAATAACTCAGAAGAAGTAAGGAATCAGCAAGTACTGACTAATTTAAACTGCCTAAAAATATGAAAGATCCATATTTAATTAAAGAGATATTCTTGTTCTCAAATCTCAATCTGGAGCATCACAGCACCAAACATACAACTAAGAGAGAGAAGGAAGCTGGCAAACAGTTTTTAAGTCTTTTCCATATAGATATTAGTCTCTCTTCCTTTCCACTCTAAATGCCTTAATGTCTATTCTAAGCCAAAATTCTTTCCCTAACACCAATATCAGTTTACAAAATTGCTTTCTCTCAAGATCAATACCCAAGCGTTTTAATACTAATCCTTTTGGCGTGAAAAAAGTGAAACTGCATAATTCATATGTTGCTTACTTACATACACTCTAGGTAAGTAGAGATTCTCACATATAATTACTCCAAAGTTGGCAATCGATAACCAAACAAATCAAGGAATTTCACATGAATTTAATGAAAGTGCATAATTCCTTTAAAAAGCAACTTTCAAGAAAGTTCTACTTCATGAGTGAGCCAAACAGATACAGGTTGATGAAATCTTTCAAGATGCCAGTCGGGAAAGAAGAATGGTGTTAAAAAGGGAAGCAAGTAGAAGTTGCAAAATTATTCTACAACTTCATGTCCACTTGAAACCCTTAAATACCAATGTGATCATAGGTCTATGTTGTCCACAGATTTCAGTCTTTTGTGGTTGAACTATATGCCCTATGGGTGTATAGGTATTTTAAGTTATCTGCATGGCCTTGGTGAAAACAGTTTTCAAGGTCTAGCCTTGAGTTTCTTTGCACCACATAAGCAAAGATTCAGAAAGAGAAAAAATCCAAGTTCTTTCAAAGAAGTTGCGTTACCAACAGCTCAAAAATTCATCAGATAGCACCACTACTATCAAATTTTTTGATTTGAAAACAAGTACAAGGATGCAAGAGTCTACAAAAAGTTGACTTCCAGTAACACTACAAATCACAAAGCATAACACACACATTGGGAAAAAGACAGTTATTTGGATTCATAAAAGCAACTTATCATCAGTATTATTAAGTACATCCAAAATTGTTCTTCAAGCCATTACACACTGTGGGATTTTTTTCACTACAAAAAGGTCGAAGGAAACGGATTTACATAAGGGGAAGTTTGCAAAATAATTTCAAGAAAAGACTTCATCTCAAGAATCAGTCATAAAAAATGGCAGTCATTATTTGCTCATCTCAGTTCAGGATGGAAGTCCATGAAAGCATTTCAACATGAGAAGAGGTGTTTATTGCTTAACACAAATATTACTCTCATAAGACTCACCAACATGCCACTGCAGCCAATAACCACTAATGTTTTCCATCAACATCAACAAAATCTACGGAATCATTTCCACAAAAACATTACTTTGTAATCACATAGGGTTCTTCAGTAGATAAACTAACTTCCTTTGTCCTAATACGGTAGTACCTATTAATCTGTACCGCTATTTCACACTCTGCAAGACTTCTAAATCTATTAACCTATTCTTGACCTTCCTCACCCTCTAGAATTTCAAAACCACCATAGCCACAATAAGTCAAAAAATTAAAGACGTCTAGTACCAAAGAAAATTGCTTTTTAAAGCTTACGGATTACCTGAGAGCAAAATGACTTAAAAAGAAAGATACAATGGAGAAAATAGTGATTAGAAAGATGGAGAATAATACTAAAAAAATGCAGTCACAGAACAGATGAAACAGAAAACAATTCATGGACTTACAAGGGAGTCGGAAGTGAAGTTGAAGTGTTGAAACAATATCGCCACGACCAAAAAGACAATCCCGACAACTATACCCAGTGACTCAGGTCTGCAAATTAGTATGCCAAATGATTACATAGGGTAAAGGAAGAAAAGGATAAGCATACATTATTCAGAAGTAATTCATAATGGGTGTAAATTAGCTCCTCATTATTAGCCATTAAGTCATTAACTCATAATAACAACTGAATTTCTTCATCACTTTTCGAATCCAATTTCCAAAAGCTCAACCAACATCAACATTAAAACTCCTGATCAGTGTTACTTAGTTCGGTAATCCCCCAACGTACCGCGAACCCGTAAAAGGCAAATTAACACAAGTGATCTATTCCACAATTCACAGTAACCCTAAATTCCATCAAAGTTTAACATCACAACTTACATAGCAACAATCTCACAAACCACAAAAATTAAGAAACAAAAAAAAAAAAAAAAAAAAAAAAAAAAAAAAAAAAAAAGAGAGAGAAAATTCACAAAAATTAATCAAATTTCCAACACTAGCATTATAAATCGAGCAACTCACCAGCATTGAAACACTAATAATTCAAAACCCAACAATAAAATCAAGCAATCAACCAATTTTAATTCGCAAAAAAAACCATCAAAATTCCAAAAAATTAACATAATTCAAGAGAAAAAAATACTAACACTTTAATCTTCCCTTGAGGAGTTCCCTTCTTGTTGATATCAAACCCAAACAAATTACGACGAATTACATAACGAGACGCAACAGGAATCAATCTGAGAGTGAAGAGAAATCCGGCGAAACTGAGGGCGGCATTGATGAGAATGGATCGCTTGATTTCGGCATCAATTTTGAGGTGAAAAAAGAGAAGATAAGCGTAAGGGAGCAACAAAAGGGAGGAGAGAGAAAGAACTTTGAGCCATTTAGAAGATGAAACTGTGATTTTGAGTTCTTCCGGCGACGTTAACGGTGATTGTTGCGGCGGCGGAGAATCAGGTAAGATTTGTCTCGCCGGAGTTTTAGGGCCGTTCGCCGACGGAGCTCGTCTCCGGGAAGTCATGTTTTTCTCTCACGCACTATGACTCTGACTAACTTAACGTTTACACTACTCTTTGTTTGTTTGTTTTCCTCCTTTCTCTATTTCACACTTCTAGTTCTCACTTTCTCAGTTGGTCAGTTTTCCTTAAAATTTTAAGGCGACTATATTAGGTAAGCAGAACTCATGTCTCACCATTTTTTTAATTTAATATTTGCGGATTAGACATTTGGGGAAGGGTAAGGATTCCCAACCTTAAATTTGAAAGATATACTCCCTCCGTTAATATTTATTTGTAACTTTGGGGCAAATTGCGGTTCACGAGGCAAAATTTAAAGGGCAAACATTAGTGGGAGTAAATGAAAGTGATTAAAGTGTTTGGAGAGAGAAAGTTTGGCCCACCACTAGCAAAAGAAGTGGGAATGTGCAGTACGTATTTGGAGGGATTTGATTTCCCCCCAAATTTTCACCAAAATTTGGATTTGGCTGAAATTTTGGGAATTTGGGTTCACTCCTTAATTTAAAAAATAAAAACAGAACACTTTGAAATTTGTAGATAATAAAATGTACCCTTCATTTAACATTTAAGAGGCATTTACATACAAGCCTCATTATTCAAAAGCATTAAATGGTTTTTGTCTTACAGTTTCCACCAAAAACCATAACATAGTTCATCCAAAAGTTAGTCTAAATTACTGATTACACGTTGTTAGCCCATTATATACCAAAAAATTCCCTAATTTGAAATTAGTCCTGCACATTTAACACCCAAACACCTTCATAGGCAGCTGCATCTCCTTCTTCCTTCATCTTCTTCCCCAAAAAACAGCAGCCCCACCCTTACATATATCAGCTGAAGCTAAGCACACAAAACAGGTCAGACAACCATGGCAGAATCTTTTGAAGCTATGTACTTCGATGTTGATCAAATTCTAACAGAAGAACAACTGGAAGAATTGTACTACGATTATGCAGAAAATATGCAAGATCTAGGCTTGGATGACTACGAATCTGAAGATGATATCATGCATGACACACAAGGAGAAGACCAAGGCCAACAAAACACAGAAGACACACAAGCTGAGGTTGGTTCCCCAGAAATGGAACAACCAATTCAGCATGGGACTCAACACATACAAAGAAAGCAGCTCACCATGAAACAAAGAAGAGAAATTGTAGACTCAATGTTGGTCAAAATGCAGCAAGGGAACTTACCAATAGGTCACTTAAAGCATTTATCAGTTCATTACAATGTCCACAAATCAACCATCACAAGAATTTTTGTAGACATAAAGAAACAGATGGCACAGGGCAGTTTGATTGATGTCAGGACCAAGAAGTTTGGCAGAGTAGGCAGAAAGCCAACGGAACTTTCTGATGAATTCCCACAATCAGACCCTTTGCATTTAAGGCAGACAGAAAGGAGTTATGCAGCAGCATTAAAAATCTCCCATGTGACTCTTCACAATTTGAAGAAAAAGGGAAGGTTAAGAACACACACAAGTAGCAACAAGCCAGCATTGACATCAGACCACAAGATAGCAAGACTTAAATGGATTTTGTCACATATAAATCCAGTAACAAGTAATGAGGACCCCACATTTGTTGATATGAACCATGTCATACACATGGATGAGAAATGGTTCTATCTGAACCCTGACAAGTGGAGGTTTTACCTCCTACCTAGTGAGGAAGATCCATATAGGGCAATACAGTCCAAAAGATTCAAGCTCAAAACAATGTTTATGGGCTCAATTGGGAAGCTATTGTATGACACAAATGGGGGACTACTCCATGATGGGAAATATGGAATGTTCCCATTCACTGTCAAACAACTAGCAAAGAAATCCAGTAAAAACAAAGTAGCAGGAACTTGGGAAACAAAGGCAATACAGAATGTAAACAGAGAGGTAATCAGAGATATGTTGCTGACAAATGTCATACCAGCAATTATCTCAAAGTGGCCTGAGAGTCTGGCAAAAAATGTTGTGATCCAATGGGATAATGCAAGGCCTCACCAAGTTCCTAAGGATGCAGAGTTCATGGAAGCAACAACAGCACATAGATTCAACATTCAATTTGTTTTTCAGCCAGTACAGTCTCCAGATTTGAATGTGCTTGATTTAGGGTTATTTAGGTCTATTCAATCATTGCAATATCAGTCATTTCCTACCAACCTAGATGAGCTAGTTGTAAAAGTGAAGGACTCTTATGAGACATTCAATCATCAAGTGAACAAGTACATTTGGCTGAGTTTGCAAAAGTGCATGATTGAGATCCTCAAGGCAGAAGGTGGGAACAAGTACAAAATACCCCACATGAATAAGAAAAAACTTGAAAATCTTGACATTCTGCCAAATCAAGTGGAAGTACAGAAGGAAGTAGTTATGGAGGTTGTGGAGTACCTAAACACTATGTTTAGGCCAGTAAATGAAGGGACTGAACAAGGAACAGAAGATATGGAGGTAGATGCAGACTAGGGGACTCATCACAACAATAGAGAAACACATGGACTGCCACACATAACCACTTAGCTATGTTATGGTTTATTTTTTTTTTTTTCTGTTTTTATTCAGTTATTAGGTGGTTAGGTGTATTTTGTTGAATACAGTGATCAAACATGTCAGACAGTCTTATGTATAGTCCTTTTGTACCCACATTTTGATTGGAATATAAATGGAAAAGAATCAGATGTTATGTGGGCACTAAATCCATCAGAAGTTTTGTTTCCCATATTTCAATAAAACACCAACTCACAAGGATACCTCAACAACAACAGCATAAAGCAAATTGTTGGAGCAAAACACTTGTGTGTTGTGAAAGTCAATAGAGTCCCTTCCTTAGTTGGATTTGGATAATGTAAACTTCACAGAAACATGGGGGACTCAATACAAATCATGCTACAACAGATATTCAAAGGGGACTCCTTTAAGAAATGTGTGAACACAATAAGGGACTGTCATGTGTTCTCTACCCAAATGATCATTGAGAACACTTTAAGGTATGACTAGGCCAACTTCAAAAAATAAATGACACACCAGTCTCTTCATTCATCAATCAAACCCCCATATGCACCAAATGTCATATTCCAACAAGCCAACATATCACAAAATATTCTCCAACACATGCATGAAGCCAACATAGTCCAAGACAGCAAACATAGCCAACCATCCAACAGATCAGACAACCAGAAATAAGCAATGAAGCCAAGATAGTCCAAAACAGCAAACATAGCCAACCATCCAAAGATTAGACAATCAGAAATCAGCAATGAAGCCAACATAGTCCAGACAACAAACATAGCCAACCATCCAACAGATCAGACAATCAGAAATCAGCAATGAAGCCAACAAAGTCCAAAACAGCAAACATAGCCAACCATACAAAAGATCAGACAATCACAAATAAGCAACAAAGCCAACATAAATCAAGATCAAATCAGCAATAACCAACGAAGCCAACATGCATCCACATCAAATCAGAAATAACCAACGAAGCCAACCAGCAACCAAATCAAATCAACATATTATCGAAAAAATCAAAGGACAGGGACTCAAATAAAAAAAAAATACTGTAGGGTTAGGAATCGTTACGCAAAAGTCACTTGGAGGGTTGAACCCTTGGGTTCATCCGCCTCGCAAAGTGCTTCTTCAAAGGAGGGCCAACCACTTCACCACCGTCACCATTTTCAGCCTCATCATCAGAAGAGAGAACGATCATCTCCTTATCTGGCAACCCACGCATCCTATTCATAGCCACCAACGCCGCCTTCCTTCTAGCCCTAATCTTCGTGGGTGGTCTTGCTCTGTTAGATCTGGGCTTAGTGGTGGGCACAGAACTCCCCTCAGCACTGTCGCACACTAGATCTACAGGTACACCAGTGAAATCAAGGGTTTTTTTTGCCTCGGGACTCTCCCTCTCCCTCACCCTCAGCCTTTTTGAGACCCTCCTCCTCTTTGACGCTTTCAAGAACCTTACCCAAGGCCTTGTAGGTGGTCGACGAACAGTAATTAGGAGCCTCACCAGACTCGTAGAATTCGCGAGGAAAAGGAGATCCAGTGTCGAAGCATTGAATCAGGGACACAATCAAATTACCCTCACCGACGTCGTCGGTGGCAATGTAAGCGTCGTGAAGTGGATCTAGGTTAATCATGTTGGTGGGGGACTCGGTTTTTGCAAGATTTGAGGTCTCAAGGTCTATCTGAGGAGGAAGATTGGAGAAAATTACAGACGAAGAGGAGAGAGAAAGACCAAGAACAAGAACTAGGGTTCTGAGGAACTCTCCAGATGATAAAAGGAAGCCCAACCATCATCAATTAATGTTTGGTGGTTGGGAATGTGAGTGATAAGTGTGGTTGGGGGGAAATGGGGTAATAAATGGAGGGAGTGATTAGGTTAGGTTAAATCAGATTAATTTTAGTTAATTTTGATTAAAGTAAAGTAAGGATAAAATTATAAAAATCAGAATTTTTATGTAAGGGCAAATATGTAATTTTTGGAGTTTTTGTTGACTAAAAATAGAAAGAAAACAGAAAGTTGCACATAATGTTTAGCGGAGCTAAAGTTGCAAATAAAAATTAACGGAGGGAGTAATATTTTTTACTATACCAAACTTAACTTGATATAATACGGTCTATATAAATGGAGAGTATTTCGAGTATGGGTTTAGGGAAACATACGGTCATATATGCTACTCCGTACTTGGTTGACATGTGGAAGAAAATCTATAGAGATACAAAAGTATACTTCCTTCGTTTTTTGTTTGTTTGTTTGCCTACTTGGATAAAGTTGATTTTTTAGTTATTGGTTGGGATTAGTCTCTAATAACTTGAGTTATTAACGACTCAAATAATACTTGTGGTATAAAATTGTAATTTGATGGCATTATTTCAATACCAACTGATTTCTCTCACACGTGTCTGAGATCTTTGGGCAAATTCGCTTTTTGAAATTTTGTTTAGGTTGAGAGAATTTGACGAATGAGAAAAATGGTGGGACTAAATATAAATATATTCTATATACTTTGTATTAAAAGGCTCATTGTGAAAACACTTGATTAGTAGAAAGTTTGTCAAAGAATCAAGGTTGGCCTAGTGGTTGGAGGACCTCCTTCCACCCCTGTGATAGGGGTTTGATTCTCATCTCAAGCAAGAAGGATCTCTAATTTCCCCTCTACCTGTAAGGGAATTCTCCTTACCTTAAAAAAAAAAAAAAAGGAAAGTTTGTCAACTATAGGTAATCAGGCACGAGTCATGACACGTCAATACACCATCGAAGATGAAAAAATTGGGCGAAAAAGTTCAATCAAAAGGATACTAAGGAGCTAAGGTCCTCCTTTCTTCAATGGTTAAAACTTAAAAGGGTTCCTTTCTCATGTGCAATCGTTAAGGAACTGAGGGATCACTATGGACCTAGGATCATGATTAATCTTTTATCTATCAACTTTCATGCGAGCATTTAACCATGAACATCAGCTAGCAATGCATAAACAATAAAAAGAAGACAATAACATGTGTAAATACTTGATTTACATTTAAGTTATAACATCACAAGTGAACAAGACTCAACTAGGGCACACTGCACGGACAAGCTTACAAGGATGAAAAGGCTCTGATTGCAAAATTGAACCAACCCCGTGTAAACTTTGTGACGACCCTTTTCCAGAATCCAGCCGACTTCCTCACGTCCCAATAATAGTGAATGCTCAATGCAGTGCGTCAAAGGTGAAGAACAATTGCTTCGTCCTGCGATTCATAAAGTTAGAAAGGAGCACGCAAGAATTGCAGCACTGATGTCAAAATTGCACCATCAAGAAGTGTTTTGCTTCACGAGCCTCAACATGTGTCCCACTTGATGAGTTATATATGGCCATATGGGTGGGCTAGCATTTGATTACAAGGCCAATGGGACAGTGGTCACTACCATTGACATCTGGGAGAATATAGGAGTCATGAACACTGTCAGCTATTGATCCTGAGACTAGAAAGTAGTCAAGCCGCCATCCTGCATAGTGCAAGAAAATTTGAATTAAGGAATCCAACGTCTCTCCACATCAAAGGCAGTTAACAGTAGAAGAAAACAAATGAGAAGAAGTCCTGCTTAAGAGAGAGTGATTGTACTACAGCATTATTCAAGGAAGCTGGATTTAGGCAAGAGAGAACACCATCCAGATCAGACTGAAGTGAATGCTTTGCACAGAAGGGGCAGAAGGCTACATGGGGTAAGCGGAACATGATGCAGTGGGTCTATGTAATTCAAGCCAATCAGCTATGAGAAGATCGCCTTTAATCTAATTTACAAGATGCATGAGTCAACACAGATTAATACCTCTGTTAGTTTTACGTCCACCATGCCTGTAGCCCCAATAAGTATATCCCACAACATTGGGATGCTGGATTCTGAAAGTGTCCACAAATCCCTGGGACAGGAAGTTCTTCTCAAATGATTCCCTTTCTTCCATTGTAAATCCAGCACTCCTCTTGTTTCCCTGAGGATTTGGTTGCCAATTAAGTGAGATAATACACTGCAATATACCTTTCAAACAATGGTGTTTAAGCATAGACTACCATCATTGCCACATAAATATGAACAATAATCCACCTAATCTCTATCAGGGACACAGCTTCACAAAAAAGTTTCTTTTAGATACTAAGCATAGGTGAAATCAGGAGCATCACACAATGAGGAAGCATGTAAGCTGAAGATATACTTGAGCATATATCTTTTGCCTATTCCTTAAATTCTCATTAGTACTGAGAAGCTAAATTGAAATTCACATAAGGCCATAAGTGTATTAAAGTCTTGCTTAGAAATCTATCATATTGTGAGTTGTCAAGTAAAATGTTTTCAACTACCAGCAGCCACACCAGGTTGTACGAAGAACTAAAAAATTCTGAATCCATTTACAATAACTTGCCAAATCAAGGAAGTAGACATCACAAAAATTGTTAGTAATTTCAAACAGAAATAAAGATCATCAAGATTGTCACAACTTACAGCAGGGTTATAAATGTCAATCTCTTGATGTGCACAGTTCAGATCACCAGTCAAAATTACAGGCTTCGACTTTTCTAGTTCCTGCATCATAATGTTACAAAGATAGTACATTGTCAAGAATCTATTTGATAATTATGTACTACTTAAGAGATTAACTTTTACCATACAACAATGCAGAACCAAAAGGCAAGCACTGACAAAAATTACTATGGAGCGGAAAAAATGCAGAACAAGTGCCCCTTGCTAGCTGAAACCAGCAAGCACATCTTAACCACACCAAACAACTTCCAACCAGCTGATATACTCTTGTAAATAATTTTTCCTCTGTGGGTTCTACATTATCTGCTTTGCATTATGAAATACTCTTAGAATCTCCCATAAGGTAAATGACGATATTACTCATATTAGATGTGTAATCAATCAACAAAATGCTAAATTGAACATATACACAGAAGCAGCGTCAGAGCATTCACAGTTATTGAGTATAATATCAAGACTGAAACACCATGAAACCCACATTCTATTTCAATCAGACATCGTGCAACATAACAGCTTTGTAAATTTACAATCTGGCATATTGAATCTTAATAGCAGCAATCTGCACGTTTGTCAAAGTCGTTAAAATTTCATCAATTTAAAAAAACATTTTACTCAACTAGGCCTTCAGATTATTATTATTACTTATTATATGCCTTTAAAGTTGTGGCCATACTGAAAAAGCAAGTCAGCAACACACACACACACACACACACACACACACACACAATAAAATAAAAAAACTGAATGGCTTTGGGGAGGTAAAACCAAGACATAAACTGTAATGTTACAAGTAAGAAGTATAAAACAGTTATACCAAAAGCGCATAAACAATTGTGCAAATTTGCAGCCAATAGATGACAGGGAAAAAAAAAAAAGAATTAGGCACAACGTTATTCAAAATGCTACAAAATTCATCCTTACTTTTACATACTGGCTGAGCGACGGGTCCCATTCTTTAATCCTGTATGACTAATATCAAAAGCATGCATCAACAGTGAGAATTGGAATTTCTTAGAATTATACAAACAACTAAGTAAAAAAAAACAAAGGTTATGGTACAAAGATATGAGATGAAATCAATTACCAATCTCTTGAGACCATCCCCAGAATTGGGAACATATACACACAATAGATAATATGAATCAAACTCTGCTGTTACTACACGCCCCTCAGTATCATGGTCTGCTATTCCAAGGCCATATTTCACTGACAAAGGTTTAACCTGGAAAACAAATATTAAAACATGAAAAACAATAACTTGTTCAATACAAGTTAAACACAGCCACATTATTTCTTCTTTGTCTTTACACATTCATTATTATGAAGAATCATCACACTTTTAATGTCTAAACCTTCTTTAATGTACTAGAGTTTGAAGTGTGAAAGGAAGTCTCACATGTGACAAAAATAAATAAATAAAATAAAATTAAAATAAAATAAAATTAATTAATAAATAAATTAGCATACTTGCTGTTCCAAATTTAACATTAGCACCTGTACTTAACCTTCAATTAATTCTTCAGAGAGATGACATAGAAATCAAGAGGCAAAATGAAAACTAGTTCACAACCTCAAAAGCAATTGGGAATATGAATTCTATATTATGAAAGAGATTTATGATATTAGGCGCATAGCACATTTTGCACAAGTTTAACAGAAGCCACAAAATATTAGCTCTAATTAGGAGAGGTATTATATATCACTTTTAACTAGGGCCATACCCGGGAAACAATTGCTGTACCAGAGTATCCAGCTTTTGCTATACTGCACGTCCAAAAACTGTTTTCATAGCCTTCCAAAAGATCTCTGACTGTTTCAACATCTTTCTCCTGGTCAAGGTACCATAATTCAGATATACATCGAAATCTAAGCATGTCAAAGCTAATAGCTCTTCAAATTTTGTCACAGCAGCCAAAAGATTATAAAATGGCTGAGATTGTCTATCACAGCGATGGAAAAAGCATACCAAATAAAAATTTTCAAGTATCAGAAAGAATACTCTTTAGTAAACTCGTGATGGTTTCCTTGAAAGAATTTTCCCTAATGATCTTAAGAGGTTTACCAATCGCAAATACCAAGGATATTTTGGAGGTTTTAGGTAATTGGCTGTAAGGTGGCTTTTTCATTGGTGGCTTTATAATGTGGCAAAACAGCCAAAAAAATGGTAAACGGATTTTTAGTGGCCAAAAAACTAGCTTTTATGACAAACATGAAAAACTAACTGGACTAGCTTTTGGTCTTTCTTTCTTACCCATCTTTCACCCCATCTTTCTTACTATATACGAAGTACACTCTTTTCTTACGCCTACTCACATTTTTCTAAATATCCAAGAAAAAATTCTAAAATAATTGAACATTAAGGAACCCGGGGGGGGGGGGGGGAGGGGGTGGTGGAGGATGTGGTGTGGTGTTAGTATAAGTGTGTACTTTCCTTGTTAATCAATGTATAAAAGAGCACAAGGCACACCAAGCCGTTTCAGAGTTCCCTGCGCCTAAGGTGCGCCGCGCGCATAAAAAAATTCTGATTAACAAGTGTTGTGTGCCACAACAAAATCTCTTCACCTAGACCACAAAAGCACATGACCCCTAACGCCTCAGCGCCTAGGCGCACTTTTTCAAACACCGTTCACAATGCATGCACAATTGACTTAATACACTATTTTTTTTACCATGTTTTATTACTAATATGCACAAATTAATGATATTATATTAATTGCCATTGAGTTAAATTCAACCATTAAAACTTGTTGTGTTACTTGGACAAGGTTAGCACCTAACAAAACCAAGTGTTATTGTATGTCCGAATTTCTCTGCCTCAAATAGTTCCAAATTTCAAAGGACGAAGTATCATACCCGCAATCAAAGTATCCCTATTGGAAACATATAGGCAGGTAAAATGAAGTGGGATTCAAAATTCCAAAAGACCAAGTATCATACCCACGATCAAGGTATTCCTAATGAAAACATTTATGTTGGTGAAATGAAGTGTTCAAGTTACACTGAAAATTAAAAAAAAATATCAAAAATAATACAAACTTTGAGCGGTCCACCAAAAACAAATCAATCTTTTGATTATTTCTGAATAATACAAACTTTGAGGAGTATCCTCTTTAAACAAGTTATGACCTCACAGGTTTTGTGGGACACGTGTCATTATATTATTGGTTTGACCATTTAATTTTTTTTTTAAAAAAGATTAATATTTTATTTAAAAAAAAGAAAACCTCCACCAGCCACCAACACCACCGGCGCCAGCCTCACTCCCAACCCCCCGGCGCCAGCAATGCCCAGATCCCCCTCCCCCGCGCGTCATCCCCTTCCCTCTTCCCCGACTACCAGTGAACCTCCTTCCCCAAAACCCTCCCTCCCAAAACCACCAAAATCCCATCTCCCACCCTCGAAAAACCCTAATAGGACCTCCCCAGCCACCGCTAGGAATTCAATTAAGGTTTTTCGAGGGTGGGGGATGAGTTTTTGGTGGTTTTGTGGGGGAGGGTTTTGGGGAAGGGGGTTAGTTGGTTGCCGGGGAAGAGGGAAGGGGGGGTGACGCGCGGGGGAGGGGGTCGGCACAAAGTAGGGGGATCTGGGCGCGGCCGGCGCCGGGGGGCTTGGAGGGAGGCTGGCGCCAGTGGTGGGTGGCTGGTGGAGGAGATGGTTTTTTAAAAAAAATATTTTATTTTTGAAGAATATTTTTAACTGTTTTTTTTTTTTTGGAAACTTTTAAAAATATCTTAATTGTTAATTAACCATAATTTGCAAGTAAAATAACTTGTTTTAAGCGGATACTCCCCAAAGTTTGTATTGTTCAGAAATAATCAAAAGATTGACGTGTTTTTGACAATTTTTTCAAAAATATAAAGCCATGGACAAAGATGAGCCAATAACATCAGCACGTTCCACAGATGCACAGTACATCTCACATTATAGTAAAAAATCCAAATGTCTCACTATCCTATTTTATACTCTGATAGCTTATAATCTAGGTATTGAAAGAAAGAAAATCTCTCTCTAACTGTAATTATGTAAATCTAGAAACCCCCACCCCCAACTCTTTTACCAGGCTAGGGTGGTCATAAGCCTCATTGGAGGCCTAGCAGTAATGGTAATGGAAAAGGGTAAAGATAGTGGAGGCCAATCAATAGGAAAATCACCGCAAATAGATCAAAAACTAATAAATACAACAGCTTATGCCTTCTTCAATGATTTAATTGTAACTCTAAAAGTCAATTAAGCTTCCCAGTAACGACCATAGGATATCCGTAGCTAACCAAAAGTCGAACTTCAACAGGAACTAGTAATCAAGACTTGCCTTCACAATTATTTTTCTTAGTAAAATCAGAATCACAATGAGCATGACAAGAATTAAACTTTACAAGAATAAAGCTTGCCTGTAATTTGGTCTCCTGCAAGCACAAAACATCAAAATCCTCTCTTTGTGCAAGCTCAAGTGCAGAGAATCCCTCCAACTTGAGTAATGCCCTCAAACCATTTACATTCCAAGACAACAGCTTCACAACATTAGTATCACGTGTAAGAGGAGGTGGCCTCATGGTCTTTGGATTATAAGCAACCCAACCTTTCTGAGGCTTTTTGTGGGCAAACCTTGTCCATGGTTCCTTCTCATAAGAAGATTCATTAACCTCTTGAGAAACTTCCACATGAACGCTAGCAGAGCCTGCAGCCACTTTTCTTTTTGTAGTACGCTTTTTTCCTGCAGCAATTAAGCCCTTTTGAAACTATAAATCATAACTATGTAGCCTAACTACACTCAAGGTTTCATGCATCCATATAACTTTCAAGTAGAAAAATGCTGGCTTATCAACTCACAAGTTTACGGTTGCAAGTAAGAATAATCTATAGGATAAGGGTGGATAAAAGCAGAAACAACATCAATTTAAAGGGAAACAATACTTCTGACAGACGCAATAATTAAAGATGACTTACCAGAGACATCACTAGTCTCTACTGATGTACTTTGCTTCACAGTCTTGATGCCAATATCAATCTCCAAATTCTCATCAGCAACATCTTTTTCATTCGTTTTACTCCGTTTACGTTTTGGTGAGCTTATTTGATTTGATGCATTCTCCTCTAAAGACTCATTCTCACTTAGCAAAGAATTTTTACCTGTGTCCAAGTAATACATCTATGATCTTAAAATCATACAGTAATGCCATACTAAAGCAACAAAAAGAACCAAATTCATCATCAATCACAATGCACTAATAAAACAAGGGAAAAAAAAATCAGACAGCTTGACATACCATCAATGCCTTCTTCCAAAATAGTTTTCAAAGCCGAAATGAGCTCTTGTTTGCGACCTTTGCTGGATGCTCCAACATTTCTAGTCGGACACACAACACATCACCCATTAACACACAATTTACAAATTCAACAAAGCACCTAAATAATACTCCCTCCGTTTAGATTTAGTTGTCACATAACAAGTTCAAATATGCGAATAACACTATCAATGCAACTATTAATTCGGGGCGCAGAGAGTACAACCAACCTAAAACATAAGGTTACCAAATTTTTGTTCAAGGGTTCACAAAAACATATTGTATTATAAAAGAAATCACCTTTTAACCAAAAAAAAAAAAAAAGAAATAACCTTAATGCAGTTCTAAGCTCTTGAACTGTCATATTCTCCAGCTTTCCTGGGTCATTTTTCATGCTCAAAATTTCAGCTAATTTGGTTCCAACAACATTTTCCTGCACAAGTGCACAACGAACATTAATAACCCACAATCATTAATTAAAAATCCCAAAAATAAAATGAAAAACCCCAACTTTTAAATTATAGAAAAAAACCAACATTTGAGACATTTTTCTGAGAATTTGGACTAGCACCAACTGACAATTTTGCCCATTTCTCGTTTTTACCAGAACCCATTGTTCGTACTTGAATGGCAAACAACCCTTGATGAATTTTTAGATTCTTCTGGAACCCTACACAACTGCAAGTGTTGAATTATTAGAAATTGGGCATAGAATTAAGGATCCTAGAATTTATTGGTGGGGTTTCAATTTGATACATTAATTGAGAAATAAAAGGTGAAATTAGAAAAGTGGATGACCTAAAATTGATGAAATTTCGAAACCCTAGTAGCATAATGTTGGCCACATTGAAGAGAAAATGAGAATGGCGCGCGATTAAACACTTAACTGCCGTTATTCGTCAGTGTGACTGTGGAGAGACGGAAGCTGTTAGAACTAGAAGGCTTTTTCTTTACCGCCACATTTAAGCTCATGGTCTATTGGGAAATATTGTTCGGTTGTATCTTCGAACTTTGAAATTGGGGTTTAATCTTCGTAGGCGATACTTTAAGGGTAGAGACTAGAGATCTCTTATTCTCCTCTTTCACTTTTAAAGTGGGGTATATTGTTCATTTGTAATTACAATAATTTTTTCCTCCATTTCTCATTCTCATATCACGACCAAAACAGCTCAAAATTTCACCGATTCCTCCACGTGAGGCATCATTGTTGGAGATGCCGCTACGAATGAGATGCTTTCCCTAAGAGGTTAATATGGTCATACTTTACACTCTTTGCTATCAAGGTATCTTTTTGTTCCCCTATCCACAACGAAGTGAAATTGAAGATGACGGGAAAAAGAGGAAGACATTTGTGATTAATCGCGCTGATAGACGGAGAGATGGTGGTGACTGTGATGATGGATTTGGTTTATTTTATCAAAAACAAAACTATCAAAAAAGTTGCAAAAAGTATTTCTCAAAATATATTATTCAAGGCATTATAATACTTTATGCATCAATGCAAATAATTAGTTTTGATAACCTTATCACCCATTTCCAATTAATCTTCTTATTTAATTTCTATTTTAGCCCTCTTTGAAACAAAATTGCAATTGTATTGCCTTTAATTTCCCACCGAAAAGTAAAAATATACTACGTAGTAAAAACAAATTTTTTTTTTTTTTTTTGACAAAGTAAAAACTAGATTTGAAAGGCACACAATGGGTTATTCTTCGGGTACCATCAAAAGTTATACAACAAATCATACATAATATATATATACTCCATATATTAAGATTATTAACACTAAAACACTCAAATTAAAAGAGTAAATAAAAAATAAGAACATTTTAGGTATTGATCAAAACTTGGAATCAAGTAAATTAAAAGAGTAAATGAATTAAAAGAATAAATAAATAATATAAAGGAGTAGTGATCAAAACTTGGAATCAAATATTGTTTACATCATCAATTCCTCACATTATGTCACCCTCAAATTAAGCACCATTATGAATTATTAAATCTATCTAATTTCCAATTCTAAAATGAGAGAAGGTTAGACTATGTATTATATGTATGTGTATTGTTATATCTATAGTAGATCGATCTTTATTATATGTATGTGTATCGTTATATCTATAGTAGATCAATCTTCATGACCTATCTTATAATTTCATAAATAATATATATACTTTGTATTTTTCCTTATAATCAATGTTTATATTTGATGATGATTCAAGATTTCAAGGTGAAGTAGTGCTTGTTGAAGACATTAATGACGCAAAAATTCCAGATTCCTCTAACTTCTGCATAATCACCTGTGAGAATTATGGTAAGAAATAAGTATTAATATGGATTTTGTTGACACATAATATATATATATATATATATATATATAGAGGAAGGGTCATATATATATTTCATAAAGTAATGTTTATGGTATATAAAGTTACCTTGGGAGTATAGATACGAGTAAAAATTCCATATTTTAAAAATTTTAGATTCATAGTTTCATTATTCCATACGACATGGTCTTGGTACCTACAAAAGAAATAAAATTAGACCAAAATATAATATATATGAAACTTGTGTGCAAGAGTAAATGGGAATCCAAGTGTGAGTTGCTTCAAAAGAAGTAAACTGCAAAGTCTTGATAACATGAAAATAGTATGGTAGAGAGAGGTGTATCATGTGCATGGTACACCCGAAAGTAAATTACATATAAATAAAAAAAATATTGGGATAAATTTAATGTTCTTTTTTTTATGAAACCTCATTTATATGTAATGTTCTTTATTTTATATGTAATGTTCATTTCACCCATTTATTTTCTCACTTTTTGATACTCTCTCTCCTCTCCCTCTAACTTCTTCTTCCATTTTATTTCTTGATTTTTATAGCTTTTATGTGCTTAATTCATCACTCACAAACATATTTATACTATATTTTGCACTCCAAAATCCGAATTTCACAACCAAATTTTCGAGTTTTTCATGATTTGAGAATTTTGGGTATTTTTGATTTTGGCTAATAACCTTGCAATTGAGTGTTTAACTTGCTTGATTTCCACTATTAATTCACTTTACAAGGATTTTCTACTCATTTGAGGTATGACTTATCTTTCTTTGTTCATCTTTATTCTACTTCATGAATATGAAACCCTAGGTTGTGTTTCAATAGTGAACTATCTCTTTGCTTGTTATTTTTACCTATATTTTGAGTTTTGTGATTATGTTTGTTGTTCATATAAAGCTTTGTTATCATGAAATTACTTGATTGTTTAAATTTTTAGCATTGTTGTTCATCATCTTCTTCTATGGGTTTGGGTAGTAGCATTTTTCAATTAATTATATGTAACGTTCTTTTTCAGAAAGATAATGTTCTTTTAAATTTATATGTAATGTTATTTTATTTTTTATGTTCTTTTATTGTAAGTAATGTTCTTTATTTTATATGTAACGTTCTTTTTAATGTACTCTATGTTCATTTGTAATGTATAATAAATTATTATAATTACGATTTTTTTATTTATAAGTAGTGTTCTTTTGTTTATATGTAATATTCTTTTATTTTTATGTAATGTTCTTCTATTTATAGGTAATATTCTTTTATTCATAGAGTGATGTTCTTTTGGATGTACCATGCCTAGAGCTGTCAAAAGCTGACCCGACCCGAAATACCGACCCGAACCCAATTATTAACCGACCCGTTTAAACCCGGAAAAATGATGACCCAAACCCGATATGACCCGACCTGAAACCAACCCTAGACCCGAGTTAACCCGATTATTTGAAACCCGAACCCGAACATGAACCGATCTGGAGATGACCCGACCCGAATATAACCCGTAAAATATTGACTTGAACCGAACCCGACCTGAACCGAAATTGACCCAAACCCGTTTTAACCCGTCAAAACCCGATTTTAACCCGACCTGAATTCAACCCGACTTATTCCTAACCCGACCCGAATTAAATCCGACCTATTACTAACCCGACCCGGAATTCAACCCGATCTGTCACTAACCTGACCCGAACCCGACTTGTTCTTGACCCAAAATTAACTAGCAATCTAGGATTACGTCATATCTTTTTTTTTCCCCCTAATTCTATGAGTTATTTTCCTATTTAAGCTTATTCAAATATTTTCAATAAAATTCTCTACTATCAAATGTAATACAATTTATATGTCTCATAAAAACCTATAAAATATTATGAATACCACTACTTTTTGGATGCATGTGCATTCTTTATTTAAATTTAGTAATTACGATTTACGAATACTACTACTTTTTAGGTGCAAGTTCATTCTATATTTCAATTAAGCAATTATGGTATACGAATACTACTACTTTGTAGGTGCATGTGCATTAATGTAGTCAATTACGGTTTACAAATACTATTTGACCTTAGGCTTGTTTGTTTTATCTTATATTTTATAAATAAAAATAAAAAATAAAAAAAAATCAAATAAAAAAAAAATTTGGATAATGATTACATGTGAGCATGAGTATATGACAATGACCAGATGATAATCTGACCCAAATAATTTACCTGTACCCGATTATGACTTGACTAGTCTGGACTCGAGAAAGTGGTGACCCGAACTAGAGCTATTAAAAGGCTTTTATTGGTCTTTTATTTTTCTAATTTTATTATTCATTTACCTATTTAATCTTATTTAGATGTTTTGAATAATGCCATTTAAATGTTAAAAAAAAAATACCATTATAAAAAAACGTGAACTCGGATATGAACTTATAAAAAAAAAAAATACAAGTTTAGATAATTTCAAATAAAATAAATTTATAAAAAAAAATTATTGCATTTTAACTTATCTAAACTAAACCTATTTTATCCGAATTTATATGAACTTATTGTATTTTATCTAAACATGTCATCTCGAACTTATCTGAAATTGTTATCCCTAAAATGAGTGGAATCAATGTGAATAGATTAGAATAGGGTTTGAACTTATTATCTAAAAATCTAAACTAAAACCTATCTTATTGAAATTAATATGAACTTATTATGTAGATCTTATCTAAACTTATTAGAACTTATTACCTCGAATTAAAACTTATCTAAAATTATTTCTCTTACAATAAATGAAGTAATTGATAATGATTAAACGTGATTGTCATTACATGAACTGTTAACAAACTGACCCAAATTAAAAAATGTACCCGAACCTGATATGACCCGACCTGAAATCAACCCGATACCCAGATTAACCCAATATTTGAGACCTGAACCCGAACATGACCTGACTTGAAAATGATCCAACCTAATTATAACCTGCAATTTTTTTACTTGAACCAAACCTGACTTGAACCCGAACATGACCCGACCTGATTGTAACCCGCAAATTGTTGACTTGAACCGAACCCGACTTGAACCCGAGAATGACCCGACTTGGAATTGACCCGACCTGATTATAACCCGCAAATTATTGACTTGAACCGAACCCGACTCAAACCCGAGAATGATCCGACCTGATTATAACCCGCAAATTATTGACTTGAACCGAACCCGACTCGAACCCGAGAATGACCCTAACCCGTTTTAACCCGTGAAAACCCGGATTAAACCCTACCTATTATTCACCGACCCGAATGTAACCCGACCTATTATTAACCCGACCCAAACCCGATAAGATGTATGACCCGATGTTACCCGACTCAAGCATGACCCAACCCGAACCCGACCCGTATAGGTTACGGCATTAACCCGAAATGACCCGACCTGACTTGACCTGACCCACACTTACCCGACCCAAACCCGACTTGTTTACCCGAATTGACAGCTCTAACCATGCCCATGGTACACCCGAGTGTACGAAACAATTATTGGTCCCACTTTGATACATACAATACATAAATTTATACTCATCGATCATCTTTAATACTTCGTCCTATTTATTAAAAACACTATCAGAGAGTGAACGAGAGATGTGAGACCTTTACAGAAAATAAAGTGTTTAAATTAAATTAGGATGGATGAAAAAAAACTCGTAATATTTTCCACATTTTTTTTTTTAAAAAATGTCAAATTCCACATCTTTACTTATCTTTTAAATGTTTTCTATTTTTTCTTTTGCTATACTTATACTTCTACAAGTCTACAACACTCTAAATAATTTAACAAGGAATACTTTAACAATATAAATATGCATGTATGATTAACAACATCAATATGCCTGTGTGAAAATGTGAGGTATATGCATTTTTGTTTAATTGTTCTCTTGGTACGTAACAGAGGAGTTAGTAAAGCTTTTTTAAGTAGTTTATCAAACATTTTATTACATAGTTTTTTTTTTTTTTTGGAAAAAACATTTTACATAGTTTGTAATACTTT